AAAAAAAAAAAGAAAAAGAAAAAGCAAAAGAAAAGTAGGCTTAGGAAGGTACACGGATAGTCAAATGAGAAGCAATAAAATAAAAGTATCGCGGGTATTTCGGTTGTGTGAGAAAGTGGATTTCTCACACAGTCAGCTGGGATGTTAGCGACTTGTGTTGAGTCCTGCTCCTTCAGCCATCAATACCGTCTTGAGATGAAGGTTCATGGTGGGAGGAGATAATTTTTTTACCTGCCCTGCGCGGCGGATCCGATGACCGTCTATACGCACTATTCCCAGTCTACTTCGGCCTGATCGATGCCTGATATTTACCATTGCAGGACGTCGCCCAGTCTGATGGCACATGGAAATTCAGACTCGTTGTAAACTACAATCTTGATATGTTCTTGAATCAAAACATGCATTGAAAACATGAGGCTTCCCTCGCTCTTGAAAGAACTAGTCTCTGGTTATTTCCTCCTATGGGCAGGTATGGCGTGGTTGGAAGCTTGACGTGACAGTAGCATCAACTTCCTGGGCCTTCTGGGCCGTCTATTGAACAGGTATACCGGCATATACTAGTCTGATCAACTGATTCGGTGGCTGCTTCTTGGTTCTGCTCTTGTGATTCTGATCTCACAGGAAGAATGGATCTAACTGGCTTTTTGGGAAGGTGTGCATTTCACAACGTCCTTAAGAGTATAACGATATATCACCATCCCAGCCACCTAACCCAGACATCAACTATCTTTGTAGCATCGGGGTCACTACTCGAGTCGACCACCAAGTACCACGCGTACATCGCCCCCGTTATGCATGCATGATTGGGATAAATCTTGACAGTCTGGCCAACACTCAGGGGGATCTTCTTCGCAACATCCTCCGATTCCCACCTCAGAATACTGTGCTCCTGACTGATCCGATCAATAAACAAACGATCCCCCTGCTGGGTGGCTGGCAAGCCCCAAGGTCCAACAACCCCCCATCCTTTATAACTTGGACAAGGCTCACGCCCCATACCCAAAGTGCCCACAGCGACCAGCGCCTCCGGATACTCACGCTCCCCATCATTATAAACACTGCAAGTCTCAGCCACCACATAAGCACCTACCTCATCAAAGAACCTCTCGCGTACACCCCCCGCATTCGTACTCATCTGCTGCATATCCAGCAACGGATAATTGCCCGCATGCAACTCAACCCTAACCCGTCCCTTGAACGCCCCTGTATCTGGTTCCTTTAGGAACTTCCTCAGCTCCTCAAACTCAGCATCATCTCCCTCGGCCACAGACTCCGCAGCAACAACCTGCGGCGTCGCACCCACACTGACAACCAACTCCCTATCCACGGGCAAAGCCCCCGCATAAGAATCTAAAGCAAGTAAGCAAGCCTCAACCTCCCCCCTCAAATGCCTGAGTGCATCCCCCCGATTCCGTCCCCCATAACTCAAACTACTATGTGAGTAAACCCCAATCAATCTCCCGGCTCCCGTCTTCTCCATCTCCTCCAATTTCGAAAACAATCCCCCCTTATCCATCGCCTTCGGCGGCAATCCAGCCCGATGATACCCACAATCAACCTTAAGAAAAACCCCCGCCGCGAACCCCGCAATTCGGGCAAAGGTATCTAGAAACTTGATTTGGTCCGGGTGATCAATCATCACCAAGACACTGTCCGGCCCAAGTTCTGCCGCTGCATGGGCCAACCGGGAAACCTGGGATGGGACGAGTGGGATCCCATATAGGATATTCACTTTGCGGCCTTCGGACTGGAACTCTTTCAACAAGGGAACCAGACTCTCAATTTCTAGGACTGTGGAGGCCACGAAATTGATTTCCGGTGATGATGTCCCAACTTGGAGACGGGATAGTTCGGTTGTCTTTTTAACATTGTTATCATTAGTTTGGGGGTGGGGTTTGCCACGGGAAATATATATATTTTTTTTGTTTCTTGGGTAGAGGGTGGACTAGTTATAAGGAGTTTGATGTATGGTTATTGAACTTACTTTGTGGCTTTTGACGTGGGCTCGAAATCCTACGCCTAGGGTTTGGATTGTCTGGAGCATTGAGTTGCAGTGGCGTTTGATGATGGCTAGGTCTAGGACGGCGGCGGGCTTAGGGACTTCAGAGAGGGTTTTGTGCAGGTAGAATTGTTTGAGAGTGTCTTTTGGTGGGACGGGGCGTTGTGGGATCATGGTATCCATTTTTGTGGTTATAATTGATTGTATGGTATGTAAGGGAAAGAAGGGATGGAAGGGACATGAATGTGTATCTTCATACGGGGTTTTATAGATATATTTATTGGAGGAGGGGTTGTTTTAGTTCATAGGTGGTGTGGGGATCTGGTTTGCTCTGTTTGGTTGCGCTGCAGAGGATTGGGCGGATGATTGTTTTACCTGATCTTTGTACCTGGTTTATTTAAAGGGGTCCTCATAGAGCTGTCTTCTATGGAATATTAGAAATGTAAAGAGTAATGGGATATTCTCGTTTTGAATTGTTTATTTGAACTATTTTAAAGAACCTTTGGTGCTGTATCGACATGCAATCTGTGTATATCCAGATAGGAGAATCTATCGAAGATAAACAAATACCCTCCGATCTAGAGTGTGCTTGAACTTATAGAGTATCATTCCAACGCCGTATGATGCAATCACTATATAACAGGTGGTTCCAGACTTGGTCCGGCATAAGAGAACTAGGAGAGATAGAAAAGAAATGATGAGAAAGAAAAGGTCGACCGTGAAACAACTTCGTACTGGTATCCGTCGGTCATGTGATGGTCTTTGCTAATGACGTGTCATAAGGGAATCAAATAAAATATGTACAGTGACGTATACAATAGCGGTCATATGCTGTCGTTGGGAGATATAAAATGGGATATTCCAAGTTCAAGCCGTAAACATAAGTCGCAACCTGCTGGATCGCTTCTTCTTCTCTTTGGGTTGCGCGTCCCGGTCTGAGTGGTGAGAGTGGTGAGAGTGATGTGAATGGTGGGAGTCCGCCTTCGACGGAGCTCTGGAAGGAGCCCTAGATGGAGCTCGGGAGGGTGCCTTCGATGGCGCCTTGCTTGGGGCTCTCGACGGCGCCCTAGATGGGGCCTTAGATGGCGCTTTCGATGGAATACCGAAGAAGGACTTAGTCGGTGCCTTGGAAGCCACGTAGGACTCTGGCCTTTCGTCCACTCGGGTAGGCGCGCGAGATCTTGGGGGGCGTGAACGGTGAGACCGGTGAGACGATGCCCTCGATTCCTCGTCATCGAACTTGAAACGAGGATCCCGCATCATGCGTGCAGTGGTAACATCGACGCCGGACATCATAGCAGCAGTTGGGGTGATGAATTCACCCTCGACAGAGGTGCCGATGCTTTCATCAGCTGCATCGGCGACACCTCGTCGCCACATTTCAACACCGCTGAGGCATTCGGTGTTGATCTCTACCATGTCATCCATACCGACGGACTCACTCGGTCTAGGGCCGGGGTCGCGATCTGGTCCTCGACTGACTTCGTTACCATTGCCGGACATCTGCTTGATGATTTTGTAACCACCAAACATGACAATTGTCGCAGTGAGACCAACACCGGCGGCGATGAGAAACTGCGGGCTGGCAAGCAGTGCGAAAACAGCAGGGGCTGCCGATTTGAGTGACGAAAGTGCGGCCGGGGCCATCTTCGAGGCAATGTTACTGATCTCGGCTAGAGTGAGTGCAACTGCAGCCATGGCATCGGGATTCTTTTGAAGATGAGCAATCGTGGCTGTGGCACTGTGGTGCACACAGTTAGCTTCCTCCATGAGCCACTGTGCGCGGTTTACTAGACCGCTCAGTTCCGGGTCCTCAATCTTCTGCAGTTGGTTTTGTTGTGGCGGAGCCTTGGCCAATGAGTGAGGATTGTAGTCGCCGTACGCCAGGTCCATGTCGATTTGTGCATCAGACTTTGAGCGACTAGTTGTCGGCCGAGCTTCGGGACCCCGCGTGACGATATCATGATGGGTGTGCCGACGGACCAGGTCCTGCGGTCGGTTATAGTAAGAGTCCGGGCGCGACGCAACGGAACCGCGGTCTTGCTCATATTCATAGTCGTCGTCGTAGTACTGCCGGGCATGGTGACTGCGGCCCGAATGATGTCGCGAACGACTTCTGCGCGAAGAGGCGACGGAGGGCGCATCGTCAATGGTATAATTTTGTATAGCCCTCAGAGCTTCTCTTTCGGCGATGATAGCATTCCGCTCAGATTGGAACTGGGCCTTGCGGGCGCTATATGCATTCTTGGCATGACTGAAAACACCAAACAATTGTTTACTCTGCCAGAAAAAGCTGTTAGCAAATGTCGTATGAACTGCGGGGGGCATGACACCTACCGTACTCACTACCTTGCCGGACTTATCAATCACGGCAACGGTCTCGCCGAACGGGGCCATTATAATTGATGAGCAGTATAGCACTGCTTAGTTGTTGAAATGACGATCAATGTCGAGGTCACGACCGACTTCCTAGTCAATCGCGATGTTGATCCGTCCACATCAAAGTCCTAAAGGATGCTGATAAGCGATCGCTTATAAAGTGATAAGCGAATAGCCCCGAGACGAGCGGTGTACAGGGTAATGTAATCGAGTATATAAATATCGAAACTAAGCCCACTGGGTGGAGAATTGACCCGATCTTTTAAACTTTGAGAAAGAAAATTATCGTTCTAGGCCCGGGAAGGAAACAAACGAAAAGCAGCAGGGCTGAAAGGGTTAATATAATAAAGAATGCGATGGCGAAATTTGTATGCACGAAAAGCTGGTGCCTGATGGAAACTGTTTCCGCTTAGCTGTGGTCAGGGATATATAACAATCAGACGGCGATTTCCGGAGAGTTAACAAGTATATTGGAAAGTCAAACGACCACACGACACGAAACCGCTTGGCATCGGAGAAAAAGGCCACGAAGGAGGTGTTCTGATAAGTCAAATAATTGGAAGGGAAAAATTGGTAGAGGGGGAAAAAATGAGGGGGCTGGGTGGGTTGAAAAAGGACGAGATAGCGACTCAGGCGCCTAAAATGGGCACAAAGCAACGAACAGGATTAAACACCGCCAAAAGCGTTTACGGTTGGGTGTCGATGACGCTCAGTAACAAGGCAGCCGATTTTGGTGAAAAATGCCTTGGGGAAATAGACTGTGAATGGCTGTTCGTATAGACTATGCCGCGACCAATCGGTGGGGTCAGTGTTTGCTGTCACCGCACACCCTGACAGCCCTATTGGTGTCCCTGTGGGGTGCCAATCGCCTCATTGGAGATCCGTTGGGTAGAAGGAGAGGGGAAGACAATGTTTTCGTTGTCTGTACCTGATAATGAGGCAAATAGTACGGTGTCCGAGTGTTTGCTCGGCGATGACGCATCCTATTTTCCCTTCGGAAAGAATCCATCCAGTTCATTCAACTAGAATAGAAACGAGTCTAGTCAGGGGAAGAGGAAAACCCCATGACATGGAAGGCACATGTCCAAACTTCAAAGGAATGGCGGTGATGTTGGCCGGTGTGATTGGTCAAGGCCATCACCGCCACTGTGGCTGGTGCTGTGCCGCCACACCCGCAGGAACATACCATACCGTACCATACGCAGGTCTACGATTCTGGGCTGTAAATATTTGCCATGTACCCGGAGTGACGCATCACGATTTTTATATAGAACATCAAATCGCATCCAAGGAGAAGGGCTGTACGATATGACTCCACAAAGATCGGTGGTGCTACCGATAATGGGACCATTAGATAGCTGCCCAGAAAGTCGTACAGCCAACCCGCAATATGCAGCGTAACCCGATCAATGCTGCGCAATGATGTTCAGGGGCTCGAATCAGACTCACTCTTAGTCGATTTCTGTGGACCACACTGACGGATCGATTCCATGCCCTTGAGGATTAATCTGCAGCTTCCCACTGATCGCAACCGTGCCCGGTTTCAAAAGGGAACCCGTTATCTCACATATAGGGCCAGTATGCCACCCTTTCGAACTTCCTCGACCATTAAATTTCTTCGTACCCCGTACCGCACATCTCACTGATGGTTTTTGAACCATGTCTCCAAGCAAGAATGACGCATTAATAGCTCGTTTACTCTGGGAACCCAGGTCAGTTTATTTTCTCGTATGGATCCACGCATTTGCTATCCTTTCCAGGGTGGATATAAGTTTCGGGGTAGAAATAGAGACGAATGATGGCTCAGAGAATTGAAGAAAGTTTTAACGTGTTGACCGACCGCAGACAGGAGTGTTGTGGCAGATATCCATTCCGCGAGAGAAAAGGTAGGTAATAAGTTGTTGCTTGACGGTGTTGTTGTTCCCTAGTGCACCGCCACACTTCTGCGCATTTGCCATACATCACCGCCATTGAAATCACGACATTTGCTCCAGTCCCAAGACCTTACCACTTTGGGACAATTGACTCAACTTCCTTTCTGCTTTCTCATGCAATAATCTTTTCCACCTTGATGTACTAAAAATCTGCAATTTTTGTATATCTGTTTCTCTCTTTGCCGTATATCCTCCAATAGTACTGGCTTATACAAAGGAAGAGTGGTTGCAAGAGTGTCACGTGGAACCACTCTGTTGATCAATTGATATCCGAATAGAATACATTGGCTGAGACTTCTTCGGCCATTGCGTGTCAGCGATGGACCACACAGTACTACATGAATCGGATAGCACATCCGAGATTGATGAACAGATTAAGACCTGGGAATCTGATCCACGTTCTATAACTACGCACCTCACCGACGATGACACGAATGACTCCAATGCGATGATTGAATGTGGCATCGGCCACCGTGTTCAGGCCAGTCGGTCTGTCCTAGCATTAGTCTTAGATGATGACTGCGTGTTTGCTGGTCTCCAGGGTGGAGACATTGTAGTATGTGGTGGAATGATTTTCCTTACTCCATTGCAACTCTAATTGGCTTACCTGCGATAGGCATGGTCCCTCCAGACATACGAGCTCGTGCTCTCGGTGCATGCTCACCAGGAAAGCGTTCTAGATCTTCATCTCTCCGAGGACAAAGAGTTGCTCTTCTCTAGCGGCGGAGATTCAGTCGTCAATGTAATTTTACCCTTTACGCGATTTATGCAGAGTGAGGCTTAACATGCATAGGTGTGGTCGACGAGGACCTTTGATCGCTTATACTCGATTCACTCCCACCATGATGTAGGTGATATTTTCGCAGTTGCCTACTCGCCAAGCTTGAAGACTATCTATTGCGCTGGCCAGAACACCAGCATCCAGGTAAGTTGGCATCTGACTTCGCTTAAGTGAACCTTCTAACGTGGCACAGTGGTGTGATATCTCACAAGCTGATGCGGCTGCTACACAATTGTCAGCGGCTCACCTTTCGAGAAGGACCCATAGGTTCTTTGATTCTCGGGGTCCTGATGGCACTCGTGCTCCGAGGCCGGACGCGGGAGCGGACGGAAGCCATTCGGTCACACAGGGTGGTCAAGTTCTCACCTTTAAGCGTGATCACCACAGGATATTTTCCCACCATGGTTATGTATACACGATGCTCCTTGTCCGAGGGCTGGTTGAGTCGGCACCTTCTGAGGAAGTACTCATAACTGGCGCTGGAGATGGCGTTGTCAAACTTTGGCGTCTGGATCAGGACAAATCCAACGCGGCGCCGTCCCAGATGGCAAAGCTGCAAAATGGTGACCCAGTGCTCTCTATCGCGGTCGACGGGTCATTTCTGTACTGTGGTCTCGCAGGTGGCGCATTAAACATCTGGAACCTAGATTCTCATCAGCTTGTTAAACGCATCACTAGGCACACCGGCGATCTGTGGGCGGTTGATATTATCCATGGAGTGGCTGTGTGTGGTGACTCAAACGGAATCGTCAAGGTATTACTTTTCTATCCAATACTCCAGAAACCGTATCTAATCTGTTTCTCAATTAGAAATTCAACTCCCGATTTGAGGAGGTTGGTAGCTGGGCTGCTCATGAGGGAACAATGCTCGCGTCGGCCGCTGGTCGGCACAAAGACCGATTTATTTATGCTTCAGGAGGAAACGACAATACTGTTGGTATCTGGGATTTGACAGACGTGTCCCTAAAGCAGAACGAACTACCTCCTATCAACAACGGTAAGGGATGATGCGATCCTAAATAAGCATTGTTGTTAATGACATACAGATGAAATGGTCAACTGCCTTGCCAAGTTTGTCGCTTTTAAGACAGTTTCAGCTAGCCCCAAATTTGCGGGCGAATGTAATCAAGGTGCAGCGTTTCTACGAAGACACTGCATTTATCTGGGAGCCAAGACGAAGCTTCTCACCACCGGGAAAGACACTAACCCGATTGTCTACGCACGGTTCAACGCAACTTCCTCGGAGAAGATTGACAAAACTATTTTGTTCTATGGCCACTACGATGTCGTTGGGGCCGATGCCAACATTGCCAAGTGGAAAACAGATCCTTACCAGCTTACTTCGATGGATGGTTTCTTATACGGCCGCGGTGTATCGGACAACAAGGGCCCCATCTTGGCTGCTTTATACGCGGCTGCGGATCTTGCACGCAAAAAGGCGCTCCGATGCAATGTTGCTTTCCTCATCGAAGGTGAGGAAGAATCGGGCTCCCAGGGCTTCCATGAAACTGTTCGACGACACAAGGAGCAGATTGGTTCGGTGGACTACATCCTGCTTGCCAACAGTTACTGGCTGGATGACTACAATCCCTGCTTGACCTATGGACAACGTGGTGTCGTCCACGCGAACCTGATTGTAACCAGCGACCACCCTGACCTTCATAGCGGTATTGATGGAAGCGCATTGTTGGATGAACCGCTGAAGGACCTTACCTTGCTGATAGGCACTCTTGTGGGACCTAAAGGCCGCATTAATCTCCCCGACTTCCGGGACCGAGTCTTGCCTCTTCCCGATGCTGAGAAGCAGCGATATGCGGAGATCGCGCAGATTCTTCTGCAACAACACCCCGAGATTACCGATCGCGATGCCTTGATTGACTCACTTATGCATCGGTGGAGGGAGCCAGCCCTTACCATCCACTCCATCGAGGTGCCGGGCAATAGCAAGAGCACGACGACAACCATCTCACGCCGGGCGAAAGCCAGTGTATCTATCCGCTTGGTGCCCAACCAGGAAGCAGACGATGTTGCAGCAAGCTTGACCATGTATGCGCAGGAACAATTTGATCTCCTAGAATCGCAAAACGACCTGACGGTTGAGATCACGGGTAAATCCGATCCCTGGTTAGGTGATCCAGACAACGAGATGTTCGAGACTCTTGCGGAGGCTATCACAGCAGCCTGGACACCAGACACGCAGGACCAGAAACATCAATATCCCCCAGTTCAGCGGAACCAACAAGACCGGACGGTCAGCAAGCTGTCCAAGCAGTCAGGTCCTCGACTTACTCGGAAAGATTCTTCGGATAGCCTTGCTTCCCATATTGATCGTATTATCATGTCGTCGACCACATCTTCAGCAAGGAAGGCAGAGACGCGTCAACGCAGCTCTCTCAGCGTGGGTGTACCAACATCCTCAACACTGACTAGCAAATCCAGCCCCGCAGTTGTGTCGGGTGGTTCCACCAGAGAAACATCTCCCGCTCCTCAGGGAGAAACGCCTCCCCCTCGCGAACCGGCACCCGGGCTGTCTGGCGTCCGTCCTATATATATCCGTGAAGGAGGATCTATTCCGACAATCCGTTTCCTAGAGAAGGAGTTCTCGGCGCCGGCAGCCAATCTTCCCTGCGGGCAGGCGAGTGATAATGCGCACTTGTACAATGAGAGACTGCGAGTGCAGAACTTGTATAAGAGCCGGGAGATCTTCAGCTATGTGTTTTCGCGCCTACCGGAGAGGGAGCGGAAGTGATCTACGAAGAGGTGTTTGGGGTTGGATAAGCAGAGTTAGAGCATAATACTTAACGGAGAGAAAGTCGACTTCACTGTTAGCTGCAAATTGGCGAAACGATCTTGTATTCCTCAACTTCTTTTCAACATCGGTCAGGGAGGCTATAATAAATTGGATATTCATTTGATAAGGAAAATAGCTCTCGGGTACTTTTTGTAGGAATGACTATAGGAAAACCATCCTAAATGAAGCCCCTTGCAGTTTATTATGAAGAGTGAAAGTGGTAGACTCTTTTTTTTTTTTTTTCTCCCCGATTCTATTCCTAATCTTATATACCCTGTCAGAACCTATATATAGCGTAGGGTAAGCTATGCAGGTGATGCGCCCAGCCTGGCATCAATGCCTCCCTAAGCGCCTAAACGAGTGGACAGCCTTGAATTAAGATCTTATATACATGTTCCATGTTATTGATGACTCCCAATTGTTCCAATAACTTCTTTGCCAAAAACGTTAGACATCATCTTTACGTTATTCTTCAAGTCTTTTCACATTGGGTATCAACCCAGATGTAGTGCTACTTTTACATCAGTCTATGCCATAATATTTTGCTAGAAAGTATAGTAAGCAAGATGTATTATGATTAGAATCGAGCAAGGAAAAGATAAAATAGTACAAGAGCAATCCAAGTAGGCCATGAGGCTGGACGTGTACGTGAACAGTGTCCAGGCCATCCAACCCTATGCCATCATTCCAAATGTTATCCAATCTTCATATCTGGAACAAACAAGAGCATCATTTATGCCGTTGTTGCTGTCTTAGATCCCATGAGAGATTCATTTTCCTGAACCACGTCTTTTCCTCCGTCGTCAAGCTATCGCTTTCCTCAGAAGCGCTGACCACCTCACCGTCGTAGCATTCTACATCATCTCTGTTAGCGAGAGTAACGCTGTCGGAATTATTATCCTCCTCCTCCTCCTCCTCTTCATCGTCCTCTTCACTTTCTTCACTTTCTTCACTTTCTTCACAGTCGTCTACTGCCTCACTCTCAATATCTTCGTCAGCATCGTCATCGTCATCAGTATCTCCTTTCTCCTCAAGGTCTTCCTCTCCGCCCTCTTCACCATCTCCCTCCTCAGCCTCATCCACCCCACCGTCAGCAACACAACTCCTCCCCACAGCCTCAGCCCTCTCAGAGAATCGATAGTCCATCGTTCCAACAGAAGCCCCATCCAAATTCCTAGGAATGCACAAAAACCCCGACCTCCCCAACTCAAAAAAACCCCCTCCTGCAGCCCACTCACAACATCAAAAATCAGCTCCAAATCGCGTCCCAGGTGATGCTCCACTTCACAACCTGGCACGACCAACAAATCCTTCCTCAAGCGCTTCGCTAGTCCCAGGGGATCCCTGTCACGAATGAAGGCCCCGATGTCCATCTCTGGGAGAGGAATAGTATCGGGAGAGAGGATGTGGCCTACCACCTGGTTCATTTCCACAATGTCCAGTTTAAGGTCGTGACAGACGCGGGTGAAGAGGAGGGATGTGGGGACTGAGTTTAGGAGGGTTGATGTTGGGGTTGCGGTGGTGAAGATTTGGTTGAAGGTGGGGAGTTCTTTGGTAAGGTAGTTGTTGATGTCGGACCAGAAGGATGTGTGCCAGGTTGGTTGTTTTGTGGCTGTTATTCTGCATGGGTGGTGTTGTGGGGTGTAAGTGAGTGTGGGACAGGGGGAACATCGCATAGGACTTCGATCGGCTTAAGAACTCCATTTCCTTTTTAGCGTTTGGGGGAATGAAGTTCTTGTAGCGGTGGAGGAGGACTTGGAGGTGGAGGTGGAGGGTTTCGTTGGAGAGGATCTTGAGCTCTATTCCAAAGAAGCTGAGATTGAGATCTAGTAGGACGGCGGTTGCTGGGATTGTGCTTGGGGGTTCTGTGATGAGAATTTGGTTTTTAGGTCTGTTTCGATTTGGTGGATTTTGCTGTGGAGGGCTGTGGTTTGAGGGTAGCGTGTTGTTGATGTTGTGCGTTTCTGATGCGATGCTGTGCGTTCCTGCAGGCTTGGTTGGGCGGTTGAGTGAGAGCCTCTGTAGAATGTCGTTCAAGCGTCTTGTGTATTCCTGCGGGTCTGTTTTTGTGATTGAGTGATTGGGGGGGGGGGGGAGACTCTGGAGAAGATTGTTGCAGAGTGTTTTGTATTCCTGCAAAAGAAAGCGCGTTTGTAAAGGTGGGGTGTAGTGTGGGTGGGAGAGGAGGGAGGAGACGAACTGGATGCGATCTCTAACAGTGTATTCGTGGGAGGTGTGGATTGGAGGCAGTGGCTTCGGTAGTGTGAAGGCGCGTATTGGTGGGACGTGGTGGGTGAGGCTGTATGCAGGATTGAGGTAGCTGGTTCTGGAGGAGTCTGAGGGGGATGGAAGGAGGAGATAGTGGGTGTAAGGATGGTATTAGAGGATGAAGATGAGGATGTCCTGGAGGACTCCATTGTAGGCTGGTGTGATGTGGCCATGATTGAGTGGGTCGGTGCAGTGGATTTGATGGGCATGGTAGGTAGTGATGGTAGGGTATAGAGGGTATAAAAGGAGAACGTATATTCAACGTTCAAGAAGTGTAGCTGGTTCAAGTGTTAGAGATGGTTCAAACAAGGAGAGAAGAGGAAAATATATTAGCAATAGTGTAGCGAGAAAGGTCATGAAAATGTAGGATGCCATGATGTCGTGGAGAATCGTCAGCATTGTGTGATTTAATCGTATATACATATATATCACTCTGATACATTAGTTATTAACCGCTGCATGTATTAGTAACACAGGATGGAAAGAACAATCAAGGAATGCAACCATATCTGACCCAGTATAAAACTCGTATCATCGTCAATGCAACGCTCAAAATCAACCCTTCAAAGGCTTCCTTCCAAGAACAACATGCAGATTCACCACCGGCAAAACATTCTGACAGCGACTCTCCAGCTCTTCCACTAACCGCTCGGTCCGTTCCACGGCATCTTTCTCGTCCGTTGCCTCTCCGGTCCCTAGCATCGACTTCGGCAGCAATGACCGCAAGACCTGGACCAGCCATTCCCGTGCAGAATTATGCAGATACGGCTTATCAATGGTATTATACGACTGCCGGGATACATCCTCGAAACCGACTAGTTTGGCTAGCTTCTCGATCAGCACCGGCGCCGTCGGACATAGGCCCAGGTTCACAGCTGCTGACGCGACAGTCTCCTGCATGCGGAGAATGAATGGATCAGGCGATGATTCGGCGGTAGAGAACGCAGTCGTGTCGCAGTCGTCCCATTGAAGGTAGCCTCCTGGTTCTGTGTGTACCCGTTAGCATGTTTAGGAATTGAAAAAGGGAAGGAACGCACTTAGAAGCTCATATATGTTACGCATCGACTGAGGATAATCTTCTTCTTTGAGGGCACCGACGAGAAGCCGGAGATGTACTAAATCATATCGGCCTCTATGCTCTGGGGGGAACCGGTTGCGCATGTCATAAGTGGAGAGGTGAAGTTCATGAGTGGGTGCAATATCCTTGTAGAGGGGGTATTGGGCAGGAGAGATATCGAAGCCTTGGAGATAAAGACGATTGGTAGGATGTGGTTTGAGGGCCGTGATGAGGGACGAGAGCCATATCCTTGGGTCTATTAGCACGTGTTTGTACTTTTTTTTTGGAAGCCGAAGAAAGAAAAAGAGGGAGCACTGGGTACGCTTACCCGGTCCCCGTTGCAACGTCTGCTATAGTTGTGATATCCTCTAAAGGGATGGCAGGATGAATGGATCGACCACCAATTAAGTCGACGAGAAAGTTATGTTGGGCATTGAGCCTGTGCCATTAGCTTTCACCGATAAGGATGAGGCAGGCAGCTGAGTAATTAACTACCTACCTGGCAGATTCCTTGGGACTGCGATTAAGCAGGTACACCTCGTCATCTGGAGAGACCGAGCCCTTACAGGCCAGGGTCCTCCTAAGTCGACGCCAAAGCCTTAACAACAAAGTATGTACAAAACCAACCATCATGAATCACTGGCTAAAAACCGAGGGAAAGAAACGACTGTGCTCACACCCAAGATACCGGGGACAATTCCTACATATAACGTCATGACCATCCCCTGCATTCTCCACATGTCAAGCCATGGGTAAGGCAGGCCAAAAACGTCAATGGCCATGCACAACCCTCAAAAGGGTAACGAAGGGGGAGAAAAGGCCCCCTGACTCTATTTTCGAAGCCTAGACCAAGATGATCCTGAGCAAGTGGACTAAGACCACTCCAACCGTTGACCCAAGGTCTCGGAATGCGCACTAAAGGAAACACTATTTGGCACGAGGGATCCACTGACAGTAGCGTGGCTTTCCGGCTCGTGGGCTGAGTTTCCATAGCCAACGCTAGAAGAGCGAGTGGGGAGGCCATTGCTTGCTGCCAAGGTACTGGGCCGTCCTTCCTTCGGGCTTCGGGGATTGAACATGATTCAGACTAACAGCAATCAGGCAATGTTGCAGGGGGTTGCCTTATGCTCTGATGGTTTTCATGCTTGTTGTCCATCCTAGCTTAGCGATTCCATGAGTACGTCACGAGGAAAAGGGAAACAGAAGAGGAAGGAGTATATACCCACACATATTTTTTTTATTTATTTATTTCGTTTTCCTGAGAAAAGTGCTGCACGGTGAGGAACTTCGAGAAAATTCAGGTTCGCTAGCCCCAAAGATGGAACGAGCTACTGGTGGAGTCAGCACGGCAGTAAAAAATCAAAAGTGGCAGTAGAAAATTCCCGAGGTTGAGGTTTAAGTGTAAAAAGGCTCCACTTCGTCTCGAAGTTTGAATGACAATTTCCTTTTTCATGCTGTCGTTCCGGCCCAACGGACTGGAGCCACGTTCACTTGCAGACAGACGTGCATCCTCCATTACATACTCGCAGTCCAACAACAACGCGCACACACACACTTATTCTACAATATGATTAGGTATCTACACGTAATCTAAGGTACAAAAGTAAAAAAATTACAAGGTCATTATCGAATCACCAGATCCTCTTGGCCACCATCTCATACCGTCGAACGTGGTCCATGTTCAGCTCGTCCTTGGAATTCTTCTCCTTTTCTTCTTTGGCCTTCAGCCGTCGTAGTCCCTCAGGATCATCCGTGTAGATCCACCGTCGGTGGTCGTCATTGACTTCTACCACTCCCCACCCGCCAAACCGACGACTGCCCTCTACCGCATATTCTCGTGCGCGGGGCGGGCCACCGTTCTCATGAGACGATTGTTCCGTCTCCCGCTGTTTCATCGCTCGATAGCGGGAGCGAGCATAAGCCAACAACACCATTCCCAGTAGCAGTTTCACGATCAGTAACACCACATATCCCGTCAGAATGAGAACGACGGTGAAGATGTACACGGATTGCGCTGGGGATGGCATAGTATTCGCTAGGAGCTGCCTGAAAAAGGTGTTCAAATGGGCCGCAGATGCTGGCACGATCGTCCGCAGCGTCAGCGGCGGTGGGGACGGAAGTGGAGCGGGGACATAGTGGCTGTAGATTGAAGATAACGATGTCGACTCCACAGCCGTAGACGAGGGCTGTTGCGGCAGCAAAGCGGCCAGGAACATCTGATACGTTTGGACAGAAACCCGAAAGAATAGACATGACAACGGGATGACCGGCAGTCCCAACCGACGGGTTAGGTTCTGATCTCCAAAGGCATTCGTGTAATAGTCTTTTGTCAAAACGTCCAGGAAACGTTTGTAGATGGCGGGGCGTGTGTTATTGAATTTGCCTATGTATGCGTGTTTGAGCCAGTCAACAAGCATCTCGGACCCCAGTACGACCAGAAAAGGCCCGAGGACCTGGGCGAGAGTGGGGAGAAATGAATTCACATGACTGAAGGAGGCAATGATGGATGAAGGCACAATCGTGAACGATTGCGGTAGGATCGACGACATGGTTCGTGGTGGCGTTGATAAAGGTGTGCTATTGGTGCTCGTCGACTGGCTGCTAAAACTGGAGCCCAAGTTGCCAATGAAGTTGAATGCGCCCGTCTCCACGATATTGCGCGAAGCAATGATGATGAGCATAAGCCAAAGCTGAAAGCGCTCCACCACGTCTGCGCAAGTCAACTGAAACAAGTTTTCTTTCTCGAATTTCTTAAAGACAGTTGATTTAATCTCGACAAACTGATTCGACAGTAGCAAAGACAGCAAAGCATTTGAGTATGAATTGACAGCCACATTCAGCGTCATGACCTGGTAAAATAGCGCCGTGGCATGTACCACCGTGTAGGCCAACGCCAACAGGAAGAGCCCGAAGGGCCGGAAGACTTTACTTCGCCCATTCGGCCGGCGTTCCAAAGCCTCCCGCGAGAAAAGACACTCCAGCACATCCTGCCCGATGGCTGCGAATAGTCGGTCGCTGATTTCCAATACGTTGTATATCACGTAAAGCTTTATGGCGGCCTGTCCTCGGATCCAGTGATACATCCGGCTCGCGTCAAAGTACATGAGAACCACGCATGTGGCAATCATTAGTAGACCTTTGAGAATATCTGCCTTATCGTCAGGAAGCAGTGCGGACGGAATGGACTTTTGTCGACGGTGTTGATACTTGTGATGTATATCGGAGCGGCACCGTCTGCGCGCCTCCGCTGTTTTCGTTTTGGCATCTCGTTCAGTCCCAGCTGACTCCTGTCGCGGCCGGCCTTCAGCTTCTGAAGCCAGGCGCTGCTCGTGTGTTCCGTCTCCAGATACCTTGTTGCGCCTTCGCCATACTCTTCCCACGCCTTTAATGATAAAACCGGACATGAATCGAAACTCGACACCCAGATTGACCATCCAAGATTCTAGCAAAATATACAAAGCTTTCACAAAGCGAAGAGGAAGTATGGTAAACGAATAAAGCCACGAGTCTAAGCAAGCCAGTATCCCAAACCACAAGACCTGCTCTAGCACTGGCGGAAGCATAAAAAAATTCATCAGCCGCTCAAGCTTTACGCGAGAGGACTCATACGGGAAGTCGCTGGCGGCTGAGGGATGAATGTACAAGGGGGAGGGTCGGCCCGATGCAAGTTCTAATTGTAAGTATGTCGGAACAGATAAAGGAGGGAGGGGAATAGACGGCGGTATGGGTGAAGGTAGTGCAGAATCGGCCATTTGTGGTGTAGAATTCATGTGCTTAGAGTCTGATTCCCGACCTATGCTGGGACGATCCTGCTTCGACCGGGATGCCCACGTTTGTGCAAGGCGCTCGTTGCTAGGTAGCGTTTGTCGCCGAGCAGAGGTTGGGGTAGAAACAGCCCGTGAGCTTTGTGAGCGATGTCGAGTAGACGACGTGGGTGGTCTCGCCAAGCCTCCATCCAGAGTGAATTCTTTGTTTGTTCGGGATTTCGTGGCATGATCGGGTATTAACTTCATATCGTTCAACAGCGGCGAGGCATCGTCCGTCGAATACGTTTGCGAGTTTGGAGTATGCGTTTGATCAGAAACAACCCTGCGACTTTGTTCGCTATCCGCAGCGCGATAAGGAATCGACTGAGGCGAGGACGTGAGCTCTTGTATTTTGACGGGAGATAGTTTCGGAACCCGCTCTCGATCCTTATCCTGGTTCCTGACTGGAGAGGCCTCTCCAGACAACTGGTTAAGAACAGTCGCAACCTCGGGTCCATCAATGACATCCACTAAAGAAGTCCTATGTGACGTGGTACCGTTGACACCATCAGGTCCCTGAGAATGCTCAAAGAGCATGCCAAAGGCCTGATCGGGCGGTAAGGAATACTGTACGGTTTTCTGGTCGCCATTCGTAGTTCGCTGACTTGGAGATCGGTGATGGCTAGTGCTGTGTCCATTGCTCTGAGAATCATTTTGGTGTGGTTCTGCAGAGACCACCGGAATTTCGAAGCCTTCATCTAGCAGATTCAACGGCGACGGTTGGAGCTGTCGGGATCTTCGGGACATTTTCTCCTGATTCCTAGTTTCCGCTACTGCCTCCGTTTGCCTCTGTCCGGTGCTCGGTGATACACTCTCTGAACGTGAGGACCCCGCAAAAACGTCCTTGTCCTGCTGCTTGCCGGACCCGTTGTGTAACCCGTCCATCATTCCGGGAAGAGCAGAACTTTCCAGTCGAGGTATCGGAAAGTTGCGAGGCTTGCGATCATCATCCGAGGCGACCGAAGCTCGAGGAAACTCGTCCTGTTTAGGGGGGAGAGATGAGAGAAGGGGAGACACCATTGAAATGAGCGATCAGAGCAGACATGGGATGATTGGCGAGCAACTGAGCAACGTGGTGTCTCGTTTCGAGATTCAGGTGGGGATTGAAGCCATACTGGTATTCAGGCCCTGGGTTTGCCGTCAAAGTCGAAAATTAAGACGCAGAGACGAAGGAGAAGAAGAAGAAGAAGAAGCGCTGTTAGCATGTCCTCCGTTGTCGCTCCCCGTGATTGTGTCTGGTCGGTGAGGGTCGAGCCAAAAGGCGGTCAGAGGGAAGTGGAGTGAATCCACTTCATTGCGCAGCGGAGCGAAGCGAAGCAAGCATTATACCTAAGGTCAGTTCATCATTTACGTTTCGTGCTTGGCAGTCTCAAGATAATGCTCTTGGTTTGATATGCTTAAACAGCGAACATGCAAGTGTATCTATTCATTGATTTATCGTATCCGTCATGATTCTCAAATATCCTGGTCTGGCTTGGTTAGTATGACGCGGAAAATAGTGTCCCACATCGGGTCATAGTTCCGGCTTCCTGCTTTGAAGACGTATTCCTGATCATAGTAAGTAGTATAGAAAAATGTAGGGGATAAAAAATAAAAAGGAAGATATCAAGGTGGATCTTTTGGCTTGATCTTACCATCCATCTGGTTCATCCATCAACGGGCTGCCTTCAGTTCAAAGGAGGTAAAAAAATAATACATATTATCAAAGCCGCAAAGATACCTTATAAGCGTTCAAATCTCATTCGCCTCGGCCCTTTTCTCTTCCACATGGCTTCAGGTACAGCATATCGGTGCAAGAAGCCGCCCCATGATGTCCTTCAGTTCCGTCTGAGAGATGACAGTTACAAGTTATACAAAATCCACCGAATAAGCTTGAAAAGCCTAGTGCAAAGCCCACGCCTCGGGTCTATCAGCTTCCAGTCAAAATACTGCACTTGATACTTCTCAATCTCGACATACGCAGCATAGGGACTCTGCGTCAAGTGGACACGCTAGAAGACAGTGGAATCACTACCGGCGTACTCCTTGTTGAAGGCCCATGCCTCACACACGCTCTGTATCATCGACGCTGTCAAATGCTCTTCATATTTCCCTATACAATGGCTTTTTGCAGAGTTCTGCCATCCATGGTGCCGGAAATGCCCCGATTTTGGACCCTTTCTTTACTTACCTACACTCACGCGCTCATGCTACAAATGTAGTTACCTTCGACCAGAATACGAATTGGCGCGATTAGCTGATATTTGCTTGCACTTTGGACTGAAACAGAAAGATATTAACTCACTCCCAATCATCTACAATATTGAACCGCCCCGATACCGCTTGGCCGATATTACTCAAGCAAAAGCCCTGGGGATGCAGATTCATGGAAGTGTTAAGGAGATGAAGCGGGTATACAAGGGCCGCCTAAAGAGACGCGAAGAAAATTATCAACGTCGGGCTCAACAATGGAAAAGGAAACAGCGTCGAGGGATCCATGCCGGACACTCCAGACGGCGGTCTGCTCCTACATCCCTGATCGTAGACGAGGGAGCTTCATGGAGTATGCAGGCAACAGTCGCATTCCCATACTGGGACTACCGAACACAGACATTGGAGCCAGGTACCTACTGCCGGGCTTGCACTTATCACTGGGAGGAGGGCAAGGCGGATGATTGGAGACGTATGGAGACAATTTGGGATCTACATCCTCCCAGCAGAGAAGCCTATTACCGAGCATTCTCGGAGGCTGATTTACCTCAGCATTTCCTGAATTGTCCAGCAGTGAGGGTACACTATGATTTTCGAGTTAAACAAGCGGGGGTACACCAGGTTAAGAGGGATGGAACTGATTTCATCGTTCATCCCGAGAATAACCTCTGATACTGATACCAACTTGGGGCATTTTTCCGTGCTCCAGGACATCCAAGACAGATTTAACTAAAGGGCATAGCTACAGTAAGACCTCCATGAATAAAGAATTGACCCAGAGTCTGAGAAGATAACGGAACGAACCAATGTGTGCAGGGAGTGAGCACAGCATATAGTGAGCGCACCTTATATTAGTGTAATTCAAAGATTGAACATTTCATGGAGGGAGCCAAAGTAAATACTCTGTCTTTGTGAGGTCCCAAGTCACAGAATAAAGGACTCCTCTTTGATTCAGAACTTGGGGTTTCTTTGTGCATCTAAGGACATGTCCATTTAAAGTCATGAATGTGTGATTGGGGAGCAAGACCAATATGGCTGCAAGATGACGAAAAGCGACCACTCATGGATCAATAATGTCAATAATATGAATAATGCCCCATATCAAGAACGGCATTGAGTAAGATAGTGGTCTTTGTGAACTTGATGATGCTCTATTACAAATTTACACCGTCCCCTTCTTATATGAATGCAACTTTTTAGCTATCACATCTTACCCCGTAGACCGTTATATAGTATGGTCTGTACAGCAAAACACACACACATGCTTTAGAGTCCCTGGCACTAACAGTTATGACTAGAGGATAACCAGTGGCACTAATATTATAAAAGATTAATCTATACTCAATAATGCGTTGTTACATAGACAATACATTACTAAATAATCTGAAGCCTAATACTTATCAAAAGAGTAGGACTATTGCTAGCGGGTACATTCATCGTAACTAGATATAATCCTGTCCATAGTTCTGTGGTTGGGGCGGATACGCCCGGTTGGAGTAGGCTTGCGCAGTTGGAGGTGCAGACCTGTTATCGTATTCGGCCGGGGACGCGAACGCACTCGGTCCTGCCTGTTGATATACGGAAGAATTTGATGTGAATTCCCTCGCAAAAGGTGCTGGGGAATTTCTGGAAGGGGGATTGAATGGTGCATAACCATCTGGTCCGGAGGGCCGCGGTGTTCCGCGAGGTGCGACATGCGAAAAGTTCCTCATTACCGCCCCATCCACGGGGCTGAAACTGGGCTGGGGTCGAGCCGGAGGTTGGCCGGCCGCACCAAACGATCGCGCAGGATAGCCAGCCAGAGGAGGTAGGGTAGGAGTGCCACGAGGACCGGGGGGTGAAAAGGTTCGAAGAGGCCCGTTTTCCCCTAGGGACATACTTTGTCCTGGTGTCAGAGTTCGTGCCGGAGTCTTTGTTGAGCTATATGAATGGTATGGTGCAGTTGATGCGATATCGTGGGATGGGCGTGTCTCATAGGTACTCTGAATGTCGCCGGTGTCTCCAAAACCATGCGCAGAAGCCATATCACTCACTCCGCCGACTGAGGGTGCAGGTGCGGGTCCTGGCGTGTTATTGAACCTTGGCATCGGTGTTTGAATCCGCGAAGCAGGCATAGGAATCTGAGTCGGGAGAGGAGGTACTGGCGGCGCTGGAGAGCTTTGGCGATCAAGAGGACTATATCCTGAGACTGCCGTACTTCCCGAGAGCGAAGTGGACGCGGAGTAGGCCGATGATTGGGTCATTGTTCGGCTGAGCGGGGGTTTGTCTTCAAACGCTGCCACGCTCGGAAGGGTTGGAGCCCGGTCCGGTGCGGTTGTCCCCGGGCGTGATGAGTACGATGGCACTGTGGTTTGTGTTGTGCTGCGCGAGAGAGTTGTGACAGTTGGCGCCTTGTCATCACCACCGACAGTGGGCAAGGTGGGACTCGTATCCAAACCCATGTTGGGTTGGGTGGGTTTTCGCTCTTGTAACGCCATTCCTTTGGCCAAAGCTTTGTTCACCTTCCGACGGACGATGCGAGTGAGCCGGGTTTTGATCTTCCGTCGACAGTAAGCTTTCAAGGAGCCATCTTGGGAAGGAATATGGTGGAACAGAAAGATGAGGTATAAGATGATGGCGAGCGCAAGCTTTAGGATAGACAAAACCCAAATAATCAATGTAAAAAGCATGCCAAAGAGGACCAGGGCCCGCTGATTGTTATTTTCAGCCAAGATCTTCACATTGTCAAAGAATTGGATGAACGAAGATGAATCATCTGTGTTGGGCGCATTCTCCCCACCGGGAAGCAGATCCATGCGCATGACCGAATACAATGTGATCGCATTGACGACTTGACGCGGCCCATCGGCAATAAGGACATTCATCCAGGCTAACCATAGAATTAGTATCCATCGGATTGAGAACCGGCAATGGTTGAACCTACTCTCAAAGGAGAAATATGCAAACAGCGCAACGTACTCCGCCCCCTTTTTACTTTTGGTGAGCTCGGCAAAGACGAGGAACCGCTTCCATCCATGGCCACTGGCCCATATGCGAATACTTTGAAGGCGCACCGCGAGAGAATCCAAGTAACTCTGCGAGATACTGCCGGAGCGAATGGCGCGAATAGCACGGATCCATCGCAAGACCAAGAGAACGAATGAGATGATAATACAGACGGCAAAAATCCAGCGAGAGACGGTAAAAGGAATGGCAGGCTCGATTTGTCCGGCCCACTTCGAGAAAGCGAGTAGATTAACGGCAGTGAAGGTGTCAACCGCATATACCGCTATTGAAATCAAGAGGAAGACCCAAAGAAAGAAGTAAGAGAATGGCGATAGACAGGACTCTGATTTGAAGTCATTCAGATTCTAGGGAGTGCGTCAATGTTAGCCAAGCAACATTAACCCCCCGGGGGGGGGGGGGGGGGGGGGGCTTCTCTTCCCGATGGAACGTACGATGTAGTCCCATTGTTCCTCCAGGGATACCGGGCCTTTTTCACGATCGCCGCAGCAAGGCATTTTGTGTGTTCTCGGTCCTGCCGAGAAGCAAAACGATCGACTCTTCGAATGAGCCCAAGGAGGGGCAGCCAGTCACAGACAGGCAGGATGAACTTCGTCGGGCCAGCCGGGCGAAGTGAGAAATTGCAGCAGAGGCGATAACAGCGACCGAGGAAGTTGTGTTTCTTTTGTAGGGAGAGCCGATCCCAATAGCGAGTGACAAGAAGTGGATCGTGTTCGATCGGCGGTTGCGAGAATCAGTGGCGCATCGCCGTTGGACAATCGCAGGGCTACAGATCGCAGAGACACGCGTATATCAGCTTCGGCCCGTCACACAAGGGCCATTGGGCTTGTCCGAAAGGGAAAGAAGAACCCTCAAACGAACGAGGGTGGTGTGTGCGACTGTTTGTCCTTTCTCGGAGGGGATGATGGGGCTAGCGCCAAGATCAGGGCTTTCGGGCGCGTTTGGACTTTAGAAGCTGTCGCAACCGAGATGGAGAATTGCGGGGACTCGGGCAAGCACAGAGTAGGTTTTCGGATGGTTTACTGGGTCGCAAGGAACGAACGACTGGATTGACAGCGGTTAAAGAGAGTCGATTGAATCGCCAGCCACCAACGAAAGAGAACGGCGTGAGAAGAATGGATGCGCAGGTATGCAGGAGCCCCTGCGATGAAACACGAGGAGAACGCACGAGGAATCCAATCAACACCTGGAGGGGGAAATTCAATCTGACGTGGGCGGTTAAAGTTCAGGAACCATTTTTCATTTCGGAGGTCTTTCTGTTTTCCTCTCAAGAACACCAACACCAACAACACCATCACAACAGAAAAGGAACACAAACATTGACAACAAGAAAACAAAGACCGTACCACTTCTTTTTTTCTTTATTTTTCTTCAAGGTTTAATAAGCTTTTCCTTGCTTTTCCTTGAGTTCTTATTCTTCAAACTTTTATTATCGAATTTGGTTGATTTCCACTTAATTCCCCACTCTTGACTTGGCATCATTTCCGATGGGCGAGCGTCATTGCGGAAGGAAAGTGGGTGCAAAGCGTGTCTGTCCCACAGAAGGAGACCCCATAAAATGCCCAACCCACCGACACACGCACGGGCCAACTTCCATTGACAGAAAAACGCCGAGGTAAAAGAGGACGATGTAAGTATATCAATGCGGCGTGTGTTTGTCCCACAAAAGGGGACTCCAAGCCCACCATCACAACACACAGAAATGCCACTCGATAGCTAATGGCCGATGTAGCGTGTGCTTGTCCCTCAGAAGTGGACCTGCCACCACAGCACACGGAATGTTACGTCCCCGAGGAATCGATCATTATATCCGAGCGCACACCGTGTGTTCCCAAAAATTGGGAACCCCACCGCGTACTCGTCCCCACGGGACGCAAGGAGAGTTATAACGATCAAATCCTTCACCCACTGCGAACGATCATCGAAACTACCAGGCGTACAGGATGAGTAATGCCCCATGATCCAGAAGCTCTGCGCATCATCCCCCGGAAGGGGCGCTCACAAGCCCCTGAAAGAGATCAGGGGATAGTGGGCGGACGCCTGTTACCCTGACGGCGCACAGGCGTCGACGCCGCCGCGTTGGACAGCGAGATGCGGAGCTTTTGGCACTCGCCCTCCAGCTCGCGCGTCTTTTTGCCCCAACGGATGTTTTCCTCCGTCCGCGCTCTTTTCTCCTTACTCAGAGCCTCCCGCAGCTTCTGAACGCCCTCCTGGGCTAACTGCTCGGAAGGCCACATAAAGCCTTGCTTGGTTTCGCCGAGCTGGCGGTGGAAGTCGTTGATTTCGGTCTGCTGCTGGGAGACGGCTCGACTGATCTGAGGAGGTCTGATTCGACCAGGTGTGGCTAGAAACAGACAAAAGAATAGTATGAGGATGTGAAATATCCGCTGTCTGTAAAAGGTTACACGTTCAACGAAATCTTGGTCTCTCGAGCGCTGGCAATCGGCTTGAAAGAGTTGATGATCGTGAGAGGGCGGAGAGGAGGGGAGGGGAGGAATCAAAGCAGGGAGGGTGCAGAAAGAAAGGAACGACACAACGCGTCTGCTAGGCAACGGCTTCACACCAACCTACCAGTGAATTGATGTCTATGTGTGATATCAAGGCATACAGCCTCCTGGAACTAGACAATGGATGTCACTAGCCTCCAGATTGATTGGACAGGCAAAGAGGGGGTTCAGCCAGCTGGATGCCCGCGGGCAGTGAAATGATAGAGACAGACCTGCTTCACATGACTGGGGCGAGAATTTGTCAAGCTACAAATAATGTTCGTCGAGCTTAACAACTCCCAGAGATAGGCAGTATTCGAAGGTCAAGAAAACCTCTGACTACATGACAATATAGAAATCAACCTCAATTGGAGCAACGACCAGAGACAATGACCTTTGTTAGATGCGGAGAATTGCATTGTGAACGCCGGTTTCCTGATTCCGTTGAGGGAGTTTCCGTACTAAAATGTGCATGTAGAAGTCTCTTCTAGTATCAACTACAGGAGACCTGCTGTAGTTTGTATATTGTGACGTCCTGGTGTACTGTGCGAGCTTCGACTCTCAGTGAATATAGGCGATGAGCCTTAAATATCCTTAACTACATGACTAGAGTAAGAAGAGAATGAGAAAAGAAGTTCGAACTGGCTGTTACACTCTAGTGTAAGAACAAGTAACAAACACCAAAGAACTACATGGTGTAGGGTTAGTATCATATTTCGGGGTGATTGTTGTCACATATGTATACTGCTCGATGCCGTAACAATAATTAAGATATATAGTACATAATACATCCAAATCCATGTATCTTGCCCTTTTACACCAATCTTGTTCATTAAATATGTAGACAAAACGATGTAAGAATAACTCTTACAAATAATACATCCCCGAACTATCCAACAATAATATATACAGAAAGATTATGCACAGGAGTACCAGCACCCATCGACTCCTCAGACCTTTGTCGCCTATGCAATAATCAGCACATCGATCACCAACAAACCCCCAAGACTTAATAAATCATCAAACTCACCATATCAAACCATCCCCCACCGGCAAACTGGCACGGACTCGGCCCCCGATTCACAACTCCCGCACTCTCATAAAACCGGATCAGATAATCATGACATCTCAACATAATTTGATCTGCCTCTATGCCCGCATTCCTTATATACTCCACATACGCCTTAACAAGACACTTCCCCACCCCTGTCCCCTGGTACGCAGGCAACTGCAACAGAATGGACCGTGATGTTAGTACCGCGCGGATCATCGCCAATGACTTCTCTATCTACTATCGCAGGGTCGTGTGGGGAGCGAGATCGCCAGTCACTAGGCATCTTCATAGAGCCTTCTGTTATTGTTGTCGACGGGATCGAACCCCGATGACGTTGGCGATAAGTTGTTCAGTGTTACTCGTTTTAAGGAAGAGGCTGAGGCAGAGGTCGGGGGTGCGGTTGAGGCGGTATGAGAATTATGTGTTTAAGTATGGGGTTTTGATCTTGCTTGGGGCTTGGGGGATTAGTACCTTTTCTTCTGAGCATCTTTCTTGCTCCACGAAGGAGCTTTCAACGGTTACGCAGGACTTGAGGTCTTCGGCGGTTAGAGGGCGGGTGAAGGCGTTTAGTCCGGTTAGGGCTGACATTGTAGTGGGTTGGTTGATGCCATTGTAGGGGTTGACTTTGAGTTATTCTGTAGATGATGTACTCGAAGTTATATTTGTTTGTTATATATTACAATGTCTACTAGGAAAAGAGTCATACTACTTACTATTACTCACACGTACTGATGGGTCTATAGTTTTTCTGGGAGAAAAGCTCCCACGAATCAGATTGGATAAAATTAGTGACCGCGCCCTGCGCCGACGCCTTGCCGCTAAGTGGGTCATTCGTGAACTGCTGCATTAAGGTGGTCAACAATATACTAGTAGCACTGGTGGCTTTAGAATCGCGTGATATCCTTGCTTGTTACTGGTCTAGATATGGAGCTTTTTGGTAATCTGGGAGCGGAGTGAACCTTCATATTAAAGTTACAATTTATGATATATAGTACCATCATGCGCTTCGCGTTATATATTTGTGCATGGTTTCCCACTTGACATTGAGATTGGAGCAAAGTATCCAGTTATTTATCTACTAACACAACGGCTGTCCCTCGCTATTGTGAAACTCATTGGTAATCTCCTACTACTAGTCAATTTGATTCTTCCCTTGTCCTATACCCGTTGAACTGTACATCCAAATTACGTCTGTGTCGACTTTTTGCCCCTACTATACTGAATTCGAACTCCGGACATGAAGTGCAGTGTCATCTCTGAATCTTGGTTCAAGCGCCGACCTAGAATATCCATCGACCTCAGCGGCAAGAAGGAAGGCCCTGTCAGTTCGTATACAACCTCAGATAAGATAGAAGGAACCGCAACAATTATTGCCGACCGGGATACACCATTCGATCACATCAAAATTACATTCGAAGGTGCTATTAGCCCACCATGTTTGACAATCAAAGGCGTGGCTAATTAGTGAAATCAGGAACTACCCGTGTATATATTGAGAGACCAGCCCCCGTTCCTAGAGGCCGCTATCTCGCCGCCTGGAGCACTTTCCTTAGGCTGCAGCATCCACTTGACACGAGCCTACAGCCCACTGAACGCGTGCTTAGAGAAGGCCAACCGGTCACTATCCCCTTCACGTTTACTATCCCAGATCGCTTGACCCCCCAAAGTTGCGAGCATCCGGTGGATCATGATCACGTCCATCAAAGGCATACCCGGCTACCTCCAACGCTGGAGGATTCTAAAACCACCAGCAGTAGCAAATCCCCCATCGATAATCTGAACCCGAGGATGTGTCGAATTGAATACTTCGTCAAAGTCGCGATCCAGGGACACTCGGTGCTGGAGCCATTGGCAGCCCGGATTAGGAAAGTGCATTTAGTGCCTGTCTACGACGAGGAGCTGCCCTTGGTTGTCTGTGTTGACAAGAGAGACTATTGTTGGCGGAAAGAGGTAGAACTCCGACGTGGCATGCTGAGGGATAGGATGGGGCGGCTTCAAATGGTTGCATCGCAGCCCGGACCTATACTTGTTACACCAGGGTGCAGGGTATCTGAGCTTGTGAGTTCAGCTGTAACGGTGCATATTCGTTTCGATCCAGTCGGAGATGAGCCACCACCGCTGCTGAAGTGCTTGCGGACCAAGCTTAAAGCGTCAACCTTTTATGCCTCCTGTCCGTGGACTAATATCCCATCTTATTCTACCATGTCATGTCCTCACATCGACGCCGGCCTCTTCGAGAGGACTGTACCGGTATCATCGCTCTGCATCGCGTCCGTGGGATGGGAAAAACAGGAACTGGATAGCAGCAGAGATCTTTATGACCATACTCCCGTGTTGTGTCCCAAAAAGCCTATGATAAGAAATTCTGCTATTTATTATACAGCCTGTCTGACTGTCCCCATCACACTCCCACGAAACAATAAGTTTGTCCCAACATTCCACTCGTGCTTTATCTCCCGAACATATGCGCTCGAGATTGAGCTTTTTTACCACACTACCTATGCGTCTATGCCGACGGCGATTAAGCTCAAAGTACCGCTACATATCGCATCGTCACGGAGACCAGATAATCCAAGACATGAGTCTTTCGATCTTGCAATTTCATCATTACCAGGAGGATCAGCCGTGCAAGTACCAGGGATACCAATGTTACCAGGATATAACTAATGTCCGTATCCTGCGCCAACGGTTTGATGCTCCTGGAGGGTAATAGTGGTGATGATATCGTTTTTATACTCCCGAAAACTAGATATATATAGATCTCTATATAACATGAGTCAAGGAATGTATTGATATGCTTGCCTCGAATTGTAAAGTATTGGATCTGGGGCAGTTATATCACGATTATCACCCTAAATTTGTCGGTATACTAAGGTCTGTGAACTTATTAACATTCTACTTTAGACCGAAACATTATTATTACTGCTGGAGTCCGGCACTTAAATCTTTAACGTTATGAGAATTTCCTCATCAATAGGATTCTGTTGAATAGTTGGTATATGGGTTGTTTCGGCTGCTTGGATATTATACAAGCGGTATTGTCCTTCATGCCCTGTCTTCCAACGAACGTGATCTTCGGTGGCTTTGAGCTACATATAGCTCTGTTGTAATGACACAACTTTAGTTCACTTTTGACCTTATGTATTTCGTACACTCATTCAACCACACTCATTCTCCATACTTGCTGCTGGCATCACCAACAGCACTTCCATGCGTTCCCTTGTTACCTGGTGGTAGAACTAGACTGCATAATATGAAATGCTTCAAATTGGGAAGAAAAACTAGCAATCTTGAGGCGAAAGTAACCATACTTTTTTTTTTTTTTTCCCAACTATATATAAATTCGAAATTGACACCCAAGGGTTGGTAAATACAAAAGATTTCTCATTGCCCGAAAGGACGCTTGGCCGGCACGGTGCGTTGTACCGCGTTTCTGAGACCACGGGGTGCGGGCATTGGAGGTAGATCATCGGGAAGTACGAGATTTTGGTGGGAAAGGATTGAGTGATATTGATTTCCAAGCATCTCCTCTAGGCAATCCTTTTGAGACAATTGCTCCAGTTCAGAGTTCGCGATCTGTACTCGTGCGACCCAAGCTTTAAAGTCGGAAACGAGCAGAGCTTGTGTTTTTTCAACTCGCAGTTTGTGCGGGTTGGCTCTAATGGTAGTTGTAGTGAAAAAAGTCTTATCAACTTGCTGATCTAAATGGTTCCTGCGTTTTCCCCCAAGAGCGAAATCCTGCGTTGTGCTGAACGAGTCATCGATGAACATGCGTAGAGAGGCACAGTTGGAGCAGATACATCGGATGGTCGTCTTCTTTTGCCAATCAGGTGGTGGTGACGGAGGGGCCTTTTTGACGTAGTCACGCACATATTTGGTCAACATATGTTTGATAAATCGCCGTTCACTTCCTGTAGAGGAACGCCCTGTCGTATCTATGTGTGCGCAAATGCCGTTCGCTACTGGAAATAGAAAGTCATGAAAAACACTCTCCTCTGTCTCTTCCTTGACATCTAATGCATATTCAGTAAGGGTGTTGATTATTCCCATGCTATCGTTGCCTGTAACATCAGAAAACTGAATCAACTCAACTACCAAGCTCGGGGAAATGCGCGAAGTATTGCTCGGCTGATCGCAGTTGAAGACCCGTCCGTATGGACTTTGCTTAGGATGTGAGCTTGTCGCGTTTTCAATATTGAAAGACGCCACAACCTTTGAGAAAAGCGCGGTAAGCACTGCATCTGCCTCGTCCTCGTCAAATTTCCCAACAAGTGAGTAGTGATGAGCTGATGTAATGAATGCCACAAGATAAGCCGTGTAATCCAGCTTGGTTTCCAATAAGGGTATGATGCTGATGCAGTCAGCTCTGTAATCCTTGCTCCAGATAAGAACTTCTTTACCTTGAGAGCGCCCCCTTCACGGGGTAATCGCTTATCGCTTTTGCCATATCATGCCCATCTGATTCTGAGCCTCCAACATGAGGGGGAAGTAATTTATCAAATTTCATACCATAACGCTCATTAACCAAGTTGGAAAACATTTTTATGTGCCGAGAAAGCGATTGCTTGTCATTAGACCTTCCCTTCATTTTGTCCACACTGCAGGTGTAGGTCAGTGTTTAAACTCTACACAATGGCATGTCTTCGACTTACGAGGAGCGAATAGCGTCGATGCCAGTTTGTGAGATAATCTTCGCTATTTGGGCAAATTGGGCGGTTCGAGAGGGAAAAGGCTGACTCTCAAGCCACTCCATAGCCCGACAGAACAAATCCACATCAGAAAGCTCAAGAGCAATCTGCAGAATCTTGTCTTGCCCTTCTTGCGACCTGGTATGACGTCTATAGTAGCTATTCACTGGAGTAATCACCCTGCAAACCTGTACGAGCCTTTGCTTGGCCAGCATGTCATTTGGCTGTTCTATAACGGCACAGTGCTTAAACGTGATCTGTGTGTGGAGATTGCGTGATTGAGAGACTATCGAATGGGGATAAAGCTTGCTCGTTGTTGTGCGGATTGTTTGGCCGCTCAATATGTTCACGGCGAAACGCAGCAAGCCACTCTGGATTGTCGAAGATGGTCTGGTCCCATGGATCTTCAGAATCGTAGACTAGTTTCCTTGACTCTTGCTGGAGCATCTCATCTGTGGGGATAATCCCTTGCGCTAATTTCTGTCGTGTGTAGCGACCTAAGTGTGATGCCAGTACTTCCAATAATGAGTTCAGGGGATTATTAGAAGTTCGAGCTGAGGACAACGTCTGTGCAGGAGCATTTGGAGTATTGCTTTCGATCGCAGTATTCCAATACAGTCGCGATGTGATCTGGTCTAGTTGATCTTTCGCATGGGCATTGGTTACCGAAAAAGGAACGAGACAGCGAGAATCGTGGCCGATATAATAAGGAGGCAGGCTATTGGTCACATGCTTAGTGATCTCTGGTGGAAAGTCATGTTCACCTTTCCAGCAATCCATGGTTGATCCATTCCGGAAATGACTAGCTATATGATCAACGCGCTCCTCCCAGGACGACAGCCTCCTGTCACAGAACCCACAACGTGATGTTACTGTCGGGGCTGGTGTTTTCCAGTCATCAATTAGAGGTATGACATCGAGATTGTGTGTGAGGCGCAGATGTTGCACTAGGTGATCTTTGCGGCGAAAGGTACGGGTACCACTCAAGCATGCCTGGTAATTGTGCTCGTCAAAATGTTCTGTCCCTGGTTCCAGCATATTACAGTATGCGCAGTGTTGCCGTCCTGTGATTGGCGAGGTCACAGATGCACCATGGGGTGTGCATGTCCAACTCTCAAGGTTTAGATGAAGTGTCTTCTCATGTCGGGCCCAGTCATATTTTGTTCTGAACTGGTCGCAACAGAAGGTGCAACAGAATTTGCGACTTGATTTAGCGCTTTTACCTTTAAGAACCCGTCCAGTAGACCGCCTGTTCGATGTTGTCGTTGAATCGTGTGATCTTCTCGAAGTGCCAGATTTGACCGATGCGGTAGATGGATGTGAAGAGACACTCGGAGCGCTGCTATGTGAGCTGGCTGTTGATACTGGTCGACGAAAACCTCTGAATGGGTCATTTTCTCTAACAGGAGCCGGACTTCCAAACGCGAAACCATCTGGTTCTGTACCTGGGGACGGGAGGTTCTTCAACGTGTTCATAATTGCAGACATGGATGCTGGCTCATCTTCAGGAGGCGATTCTTGCCAGCGCTGCATAGGATCAGGAGCGTATAAAGGGTTTGAAATGAACTGGGGTGTGGCCCTTTCCCCTGTTCTCTGAAGATAATACCGGCTTCTCCTCCTTGGAAGTCCACGATTGTCATTTGAGCCGAGTGGATAAGTAGACTGCAGTCGCGATTGCTGAAGCCAACTGGTTCTGTTGTCAAGGTGTCCATCGTTTATTTCATCTGGTCGAAATGAGGGCTCCTGCGAGGCAAAATATCTCTCATTTAGCCAGTGAGATGGTGGGTCATTTGAAGTATCACCTGCACACCACTCATTATTTTGAAGCCACGGCACGTCTTGAAAGCTTGCTGTAGGCCAAGAAGTCGCTTGCCCTTCTTGTAAGGTGTTGCTATATTGAAGAGGTCTCTCGAAGTTGTTAGGATTTAATGCACAATTGCTTGCTAGTTCGTCAAATGTATGAGGTTCAGGGCTTAAGGTGGTGAGGTGTCCAGTGGTCTGTGGGTCAGTGTCATCAAGGCTATAAAGCGAGGACGGATCGATAATAAGAGAATTGTGATCCACTGGATAATCTAGCAGCCTGGCTAGTGAAGTTATCAGCGATCTGCTAATGCATGACTAGAGAAGCCCTAATAGACAAGATCACCTTCGTCTACTGATAGTAAATTATTCGCCATAGCGTCAGCTATAGTTTGCTAGGTTTGCGGAGCCAGAGTATTGCGCTGGTGCGTCCTACCCAAGACATACAGGTAGTAATATGTAGTAGTGTACCGTAGTTGAAAAATATCACCCAACGCAACGCCACGATTGTGCCAGTGCAATGAGTCAAGTGATTGACCCAATCACTGAAGTCACGTGTTGATAGCGAAAGTTGGCTGTATGAGAGAGCTTGCAGCAAGAACACAAACCCGAGAAGATTGATTGATCATTGGATTAAACGACCCGGAGTAGTGTTCCAAGCTATGCCGTTATACGACGCCTTTAGCCTGTGCTGCCGGTCCCGCGTCCCACAGAGATTCGACCAGTCCTTACCGAAAGAAGTGCCTCGTGGAGCCAGTCGACAACGTAGGTTCCGTAGTTTAATACTTTTTCAATGCTTAACAGCGCGAGGTGATCCAATGACGCTGACTCATGCCGTTGCCACACAGACCAATCAACGGTCTGGTTCGCAATTGCAGGCAATTGCCTTTTTCGGTCCATTTGTTGCAGTCCCACAGGGGATTAGCTTGCTTTTGTTATTCGGAAAAATGTCTATCCCTTTGCAGTTTCCTCGATCAGCAAAACATTGTGGCTGAAGAACAAGTCTCGATTTTGAGTGGGAAGTGATCATCCATCTCGTTCCTCTTCACTCTGCAGTATCATCATCATATTCATTCAATTGCTCTACCGATTTTCCATCAACTAGCCCTTCAGTCGATACGTAGCTACCTAACTTTTACCCACTCAGGGTTCTCCACTCGACGTCAGTCTCCAATCGGTGATCGGAGCCGTCCCGATCGTGAGTCGGCCTAGCCTCGTCAACTAACTCTTGGTCCAATTACCCGAACTGCGCCGTCGAAATATGTCCCTCCAGTAGTCCTCCCTCGTTTCTTTTCTTTCTCTTCCTTTTGCCCCTCATACTTCACCCACAGGTGATGGCTACAACTTCTGCCGTTCGTCTTCTGGCCATCCGGCCGGTGATAGTTGGTTTTGCAAAATTGTTGATGCTTGCTTTGGGCGGCCTTCCTCTCGCCTCTGCCGCTCCCGCAACCTATATTGCTTACTCCGAAGAGAGTCCGAAGCCTCCTAGCGACCCGGACTTATGGCTGTATCTCGGGGTTGCCGCCATCCTCGTTTTGAGCGGCGGTGCATTCGCTGGTTTAACCATTGCGTTGATGGGCCAGGTAAGTCTTATCTTCACATTACTGAAAGGGAGAAAGCCCAGCGCAAACCACTAACCTGCAATGTGCAATTTATAGGATGAGGTCTATCTACAAGTCATCAAAACCTCCGGCGAAGGCTCTGAACGAAAGAATGCAGAAAGTGTGCTCAAACTGTTGAAGCGAGGGAAGCATTGGGTATTGGTGACTCTTCTGCTCAGTAATGTCATCACAAATGAAACCCTGCCCATTGTCCTAGACCGGTCGCTAGGAGGAGGTTGGCCGGCTGTCCTTGGCAGTACAGTCTTGATTGGTACTAACGAAAACCCCTCTTGGTCTTGGCTTATCGAGCTGATCATTCATGATATCCAGTCATTTTCGGCGAAGTCGTCCCCCAGTCGATATGCGTTCGCTACGGTCTCCCTATCGGTGCTTGGATGGCTCCTTGCGTCCTGGCCCTCATGTACATTATGGCGCCGGTCGCATGGCCCATAGCGAAACTTCTTGATCGATTGTTGGGGGAGGATCATGGAACAATCTACAAGAAGGCTGGATTAAAAACACTAGTGACGCTACATAAAACCTTGGGTGAAGCGGGCGAACAGCTCAACTCCGATGAGGTTACAATCATCAGTGCCGTTCTGGATTTGAAAGATAAGGCAGTCGGTAGCATTATGACTCCAATGGAGGATGTTTTCACCATGTCCGCAGACACTGTTCTGGACGAAGAGACGATGGATTTAATACTCTCCCAAGGATACTCCCGCATCCCGATTCACGCACCAGATAACCATACAAATTTTGTCGGCATGCTTCTGGTTAAGATGTTGATCACATACGACCCCGAAGACTGCAGGCGAGTACGGGATTTTGCACTAGCAACTCTTCCCGAGACTCGCCCTGAAACAAGCTGCTTGGATATTGTCAACTTCTTCCAGGAAGGAAAGTCCCACATGGTGCTGGTGTCCGAGTATCCCGGTGAAGACCGCGGTGCCTTGGGTGTCGTTACTCTGGAAGACGTGATCGAGGAGCTCATTGGCGAGTACGTTACTGATCTTCTCGGTATAATATTTTTAAGCGAGATTCTAGACTGACTCTATTAACAGGGAAATCGTTGACGAATCGGATGTCTTTATTGATGTTCACAAGGCTATAAGGCGCATGACGCCTGCACCCATTAAATCCCGGGTTCCTAAGGGCAAGATCGTGGAAGAACCCCCTTCTTTACCCCCTCAGAAGACAGGCACTTTAGTGGATGTAGATGGTGAACCCCAAGTCTCTAAACCCCCTGCGAACCTTCGCCGTCGAAGCTCAGTAGAACCGCCGCTGCCACGTTTCCAGCTTCGGATGCCACAGTCGGATAGGAATTCTGATTCGACGGATGGCCTAGTAACCAAACGAGGAACCACGGACGAAATTCGCGAGCACTTGAAGCATCTCGGGCCTTCTAATTTGGCTAGCCGACCACGTCAAACCCGATACCAGAATGTGAAGATCAAACGGACTAGCGTCTCGCCTACTCGGTCTGCACAAACCGATATGGACTCCGGCCATAGTAACTCTGGCTCCCAGGCCATACGCCCCAACTCGACTGCCTTACCCGGTGGGATTGGCGAGGGACTAGTCCAGCCGGGGCTGGATGCAAGAGATGGCGCATACGCTGTTCGCGTAGGTTATGGTACAATGACTGGGCCTAAGCCCGCCGATGCTGGAACCCAAACAAACGGAAAGGACGTCTCAATCCCGGAAGCGGTTCACGAAGAGCAAGACGAACCACCTCGTTCATCCGGTAGTGCCGCAATCAGTGTGAAATCCGAAAGCTCGAACTCGCAGAAGTTCAAGCCAACCAGTTACCAACATCAAGGTCCTGCTCGTAGTGGAAGTATCACGGAACATGTGGTTGATGTCAATGGAATTCGCAAAGTGATTCTCCACACAACCAGCACCAGTTCTTCTGATCATGAGGGACGTACATCACCTAAGAGCAAGTTTCCAGTTCGACAGGATGGGGAGGTTGTCGATTTGAATGGTAAAAAGTCCGATGGCACTCAAGGCGATGGGACCAAGAAACGTCGTCGTCGGCGCAAGCGTGGGCAAGCATCGAAGCACGCAGACAATCATGCGGACGAGGAATCGCCACTTCTGCCACAATGACAGCGCTTCCGTGCCTCCTCTGCTGGGCAGAGATGTTCAAATTGACCCATTTGTTCTGAAAAGAAGCGTTGCGCAGTTTATATGAACTGCCTGTTACTGTTACTGTATGCTTACCGGAAAAATATTAATTTCCTTCGTGGTGTATTATTCTGCCCATCATCCCTGGCGTACAGAACCGTCTGTGTCGCCACAGCTTGCAATTCATCTATCCTTATTTCATATGTGTAAACTTGAAAAGATTGACTGCAGTATTCAATATGACAACCATCAATATGAAACACCATTTTCCACCTGTGATCGCCAAAGTACAAGGGAAAAATAGCGACTGAAAAGTCTCCCCAATTTGTCACCACATACAGTCACATAGAATTTTTCAAGAACTTCATCAGCTGAGCCAAGGCTCCTGTCCCGTTGATCAAATGCCGACAGCCAGGAGCTCGTTCCGCATGCTGGCACAATGCAGAAAGAGAACCAGGCTTTTTGGCACAAGCCGGACAAAGATACTTCTCAGATGCCTGATCGGGCATTTTGTGTCCCTGCATAGTGGAGAATTCTAATGCGATGGCTTTGACCATATCCCCAGTCATGCCGCAAGCGCAAGACCCAGATTCCAAGTGAGCAATCATACTAGAGTAACTTCCGAACGCTAGAGAGCACCCGAAACACTGCAAAGCCCGCTCCTGGTGGCTATATTTATGCTGTCGTCATTATTAGCTATGTATCCTCGACGACACAACCAAATCCCACCAACCCAACATGAACCAGAGAGGTATAGGACATAGTATTCCTCCCCCCCCAAAAAAAAGGGGGTAAGGAAAACACAAAGAAAAGATAGACATAGATAGAGACAAGAAAAACATAAAATAAAAGCATACCATCTCCAAACTATTACCATCCCCAAAGACCTCACCGCAAACATCACAGGATAGATGTGCACTGCGCACATGGATATCGAGGGTCTTTGTGTCCGCGAACGCCTGTTTACAAGTTTGGCACTCGTGGTGATCGTGTTGTAAATGAGCTTGCAGTTCTTTTTCTGTTACGAAATCCTGGTGTAGGCATCTTTGGCATATGTTGTGGGCGGCCGAACGGTCTATGTGCGCTGCTTTTGCTGTGTGGGAGGGGAAGGCGCGCGAGCACCGTGTGCACCAGTAGGCGTGATTGATATTGATGGAGGCGTGGAGTTTTAGGGCTTCTTTGGAGGAAAAGGTGCGGTCGCAGTGGGAGCAGTATGGATTCATCTTGATTGGGTATGGAGGTAAGGTTGGGGTTTGCTGGGAGGGGTTGAAGGAACGGAGGGAGGGGTTTGGCTACTTCAAATCCAGGGGGAACCTTCTTTTTTAAGGTGGTAGTATGTTCATATATTATTAATTGTGATACTGATTTGTGATGATGGTGCTTGATTGTAAGTTTGCTATCGGTTCTGTGAGATGCGGCGACTTAGGGTTTGGTTGGGGGATTAGAAGTAGGACTTAATTCTTCTTAGTCTGGTACACCTTCGGTATATCCGTCTTAAGATACAGTACAGCCTAATTTAGTAAAGATAGAAGAAATCAGAAGTAATATCGTTCATCTTCTTAATAATAACTTTTTATCTTGCCATGAGTATCTACAGGTCATTCAGCCGTAACTCCATGATTTTGCCAAACAATGCCAACATGCACGCGAACAAACCAGATGCAGGAATCTACTGCAGGAGAGGATCCTAGGGGGTGTGTTAGCTTGTTTCAAAGTCAGTAAAGGATTAAAACATACCCTGAAATGCTTCTGGTTATTGGCAGCCCGGTTGACCCGAGCTGTGTACCGCTTCTCTTGTCGCTGGGCACGAGTGCGGTCTTTGCGTTCAAGCTCAGCAGCAAATTGCTTCTGGCTGTCGGTGGCACCGATCATACCCATACCACCATTGCCGCGGCTAACAACGGCCCGGTTGAGGTTGCGACCTCTGGCTTTCGGCTCCTCCTCCTCAATCTCGCCATTTTCAATAGCCAGCTGACGAGCCTCCCGTTCTTCCGCTGTAGGATAGTTACGCAAGTTCTGGCGGTAGTATTTCGCGAGCGATCGGTGGCCTGCGGTGCGGCCCGAGGGCAAATGCAGCTCAAACTCTGTCGCATAGACCTGTCCCTTCGTATCGTCGATCTCATCTTCATTATCATCCATAGAGGATGCGGAAGTTTCAGTTTCCCATCCCTCATCGTCCTCGCCATCTACCTTGACGCCACCATCCTCCATAATCGAGTCATCCTCATCCTCGCCATCTGAGTAAGTGCTGCGGAAGTCATAGTACTGTCCGATTTCAACTTGCTCAGCTTGACTTTCGAATGCAATCATGCAGTGACCCTTGTCACGCATGTGGGTACGAGCACCCTCAGGGTTGTTTCGGACGGCGTGGCAGTACAAGCATTCATTATTCTCGTTGATCTTCCGATAAAGGTAGTGAACAAGACCCTCCAAATCGACAAGATAGTCCTTTTCTGGTATGAACATGCCGTGGGTCTTGAACATGTGCTCGGCGTTTTGTTCAAGATCTGAAGATTTCTCATTACAGAAAAGACAACGAGAGGCCGAGAAGCCCTGCTCTTCCATTTCCTCATCTTCGGCATCCTCTTCGATGGTAGCGTTCTTGAGGCTCTCCGTAACTTTCGACACTTCCGACCGCTCACGAGGTTTGTTGACTGGCTCACCCAGAGAGAAGGTAGAACTCATGACAGACGATGCGTCATCGGCGCTTTCTCTAAGCATCTGCGCCTCACGGGCCTTGTGCTTGGAACTCTTCACGTGGTTCTGATACGAGTTCTCGCTGAAAAATGTTTTCTGGCAGGCGGCACATGTCTTCTCAAAGGAAGCTTTGGCGGCAGCGGCACTAGTTGTGGCTTTGGCAGCGAGGACCTTGTCGTTGAAAACCTCCTGGGATACTGGGGGCAGAGACGCGATGCGGCGCTTCATGTTATAGAGACTTGAGTCGACCGAACATTAGTAATGCATTCTGAGTCGCATATTTTCCAACAAACTTACTGCCAGTCTTTGCGCATATGATCCCGCTGAGCATCGCTGCCGCGAAAAGCAACGAGACAGGTGTTGCAGGTATATGGCAACGTAGTCGTTGGTACATTTAGATCGATGGAAGCCATGTTTTCTGACAGTTCCTTATATGGAACAGTAAAAGAGATGGGTATCACAAGAATAAATTTGTTGAAAAGGCGATCAGTTGTGTGAATATATATTGCGCGGGAGTATTCGTTTTTTGCAAGAGCAATAAAAAAGCAAAACTAGGCGAAGTCGTCACAGAAAAGGTTTTGGGCCTGATTAGAAATAAAACCCAGTAGGAAGTATCTAGCGAGAAAGTGAAGCGGCGCAATATTGCCCCTCGACAGAAAAGATCGGGCTAATCGATGTCGCCGATAACCCGGACCACACATTGAAAATCATTGCCCATGCCGCTTTTAGAGAACATGACGTTAATTGCACGTGCCCCTCCGCTAAGCCTGTCCGGGAAGACACTATCTATATTAAGCCTAGTGAATGATTAATCGGATCATATTTATTCCACTTAATGTTAGTCAGCCGACTTGACATGCTTGGCGCCTGAGGCTGGTGTGTCAGTCCGCATGATATCAGCGTGGAAAGGGCAGGCTACCATCATCGAATCCTCTGGATTTGATAAACGATAAATCCAGGCGAAGACGCGATTTTCCCGATAGACGTTCCTGACCGGGGGTTCAGGCATGCTCCCCAGTTTGCGAAGATGACAAGGCTCCGCGGAGCTTCCGTGAGCTCGTATGAGGTTTCGCATTGTGGCACCGATAGACCCCAATTTCATCGGTCGAAGGTCCCGCCAAACGCGCCGGAAGTTATCACACAGAATACCGTTGATGTGTCGGATCCCGCGCAGGTCTTGCTTTGGTATAGGGATGAGCGACGACGACATTTCAATCTTCTGGTTCGAAGGTTAGTATCCGCGGGGAATGTTTGACTTGGATGGACGGCTGACGTAGCTGGCTCCCAAGGTACAAAAACCAACTTCTCTATGGATGTCAGGACCCAAGCTGTTCCACCCCAACATGCGCGAGCTATCGAAGGAGGGTGACTGAGGAGCCGTTCCGTCGATATACAGAGTTGAGTGCCCGGACACTGGCATGCTACCTGGCCAGCGTGGATAACGCAGAGAGTGGCCTTTGTCGCAACACTCCTCGGGTTCCGTCGGACTTATCATCGCAAGATTACTACCGTCGATCCAAACGTCGAAGCCGTGCTCCTACAAACGATTCGAGGAAGGAATGTAGTGGGTCATCGGTATTGGACCAAGGCGCTACAGATGGATACTCAGCGGCTCAAACTTCGTCGGATAGACAAGGCGATCTTTGGGATAATGCGGGACGTACTTCCTCCCCAGGATTTGCGTTGCAAGAAGAGGCTGAATGTATACCGGCCAACGAAGACCAATCAACCCAACCATTAAAGGATCCCAAGTCATTCACCCAAAATTTGTTTGATACTTTGTCTTTGAGAATGATTGAATGGTTGCCCCTGAGGCGTTCCCCGAGTACATTTAGCGCAGACTCCGACCACCCATATTGCCGATCTAGTTCACGACCTCCAAAGCCGAGCACTGAACACGCCAAATCTCATTCCGGGGCAGAGAAGCACCGCCAAGAGAGGGAACGTATATCTCGGCACAATACATCTACTAGGGGCAACCCACTTACGCCTTCGTCACGAAATATCGCCAACACAACAGCTGCTGTTGAATTGAAACTGCCGAATCAGCAAATCAAACGCCTATCGCTCGCTGATGTAGATCAACGACGGCAAAGTCCTCGGTCGAGTATCGACGAGAAGGTTTATTCGGAGCTGAAGCCCGCTAGGAAGCTGTCGATCAATACACATGCGAACACAGATGGGCTGGTCAATATACCTTCCCCACCCGCTTTGAGACATCGTCCACAGAAACATCGAGGCAGGACTGGAGACGGTGCTTGCCTGCATGAGCAGCCGAAAAAGGAAAGACGTGTTTCTTGGGACGGTGCGAAACTCCTGAATGGTGTCCACGTTCCTGACGACCAAAATACCCATTCTGATGACGATGACCAACCTGCCTCAGAGCCCCGATCTCCAAGTGCCCCTAGCTCGAAACACAATGATATACATCAAAGCGAAGATATGCCCACTATACAATCTCTTACTCATCTGACTTCCGAGATCATCGACGAACTAGGAAAAATGTTAGCTCCATCTGACGATGACGCTGAACGATGGAAAGACGAACTGGCTTATATAGGGTCCATGGGTACATTTGACGACTCGGAGTGGAAATTTGCAACGTCTCGCCAACGTGATGCATATGCTTTCGTTTCGCAGAGCGTTTTCTATGCATTGAGCAGCACGAGGCAAATTCTGCGATCGTTTCGAGATAACACGGCTCGGCCGAATGACATAGAGCAGAGTAGTTCTAATTTAAAGCTGAACCTCCAGCAGCTTCAACCATCATTGCGCAAGCTATTTACGATTTGTCCTAGGGAACTCGTCTTTCATAGTCTTTGGAGTGCGCTTGAATCGCTGTTCGTTCCGCCGAAGGAATTGTCGAACCCCAGACAATCCCGCCGTTCATCCTACAATTCGACGACAGGAGCACCTGTATCTACGCCTATAATTATTCGCCGGGCGTCCGATGCACTAGGCAATGAACACGTTACTGATTCATGTGCAGCAGACGTCGCAACAGTCGCCCTTTTCGCCTTGACTAGTTCTCTTCCGGAGATAGATGCATCCACTTGGCGCGGAATTCTTCAGATGCGCGCTACTGGGGCTGTAGCTTCGAGCGCGGATATGCAAAAGCTTCCGTTACGCAATACACGAGCAGTTGTGGACGTAACCGACGCACTGGAACATGACCTTGCCTTGCGATTAGTTGACCGCTTGGTGCGCGCGCTTACAGCGCGAATGGCCTTCTATGAGATTTCGAAAGTCCGACATCCTTACAGTCATACTTCACGTAAATCAAAGAACAGTGTCCTGGATTTCCTCATCAATAACCTTAGCGACAACCATCGCCTAGTGACTGCCGATGTCCACGACAAAAATCAGATGAGACCACCGGGTGCTGCTGCGGTCATCGCGGAATGGCTTCGTACCTTATTGCTCAAAGAATGGGACGGGAGCCCCGAACTGTCCAAAGGTAGCGCGACCGGAGGCGCTGTACAGATATTGTCCCTTATGTACAAGGAACGGGATCGCTTGGGCCTTGTCCCAGAAGACTTTCAAACTCCGTTCCTTTCGGAGAGGTTGGAGCCCCTAGAGATGCCTGTTGAGTGGATAGGTCGATCGCCGAATAACAAAACTCTGCACTTGCTTTCATACCCCTTCCTCTTTCCTCCCTCTGCTCTGGTCATTTACTTCCGTGCTCTGAACTATGCCGCCATGTCAAGGTTCTACGAGGCTGCAATGACTACCACCAGACACGTAACACAGACAGCTTTTGGACCCATACAAATCCAGGATGATTTTGGGATGCTCGCACGGCTGAAGACTTCAATGACTACGTATTTGGTTCTTGTGGTCCGACGAGACAATCTCCTCACCGATGCTCTCAATCAGCTGTGGCGGCGTGAGAAGCGAGAGCTAATGCGGCCGTTAAAAGTCCAGATGGGCATGGATGAGGGTGAAGAAGGTCTTGATCACGGCGGTGTCCAGCAGGAGTTCTTCCGAGTACTCATGGCGGAAGCCTTGGACCCGTCGTATGGTATGTTTGCGACGGATAGCCGCACTCGAGTCTCCTGGTTTCAACCGTGTTCGTTGGAGCCGCTTTACAAATATGAGCTTCTCGGGTTATTAATGTCCCTTGCGGTTTACAATGGCCTTACTCTGCCCATAAATTTCCCAACTGCCTTCTATCGCAAACTTCTGGGGTTGAAGGTGAAGCATCTCGACCATATCCGTGACGGTTGGCCAGAACTTACTAAGGGTCTTGAACAACTTTTGACTTGGGAGGATGGCGATGTGGAAGACGTATTCATGCGCACGTATGAATTTAGCTTCGAAGCCTTTGGAACTATTGAGACCGTGGACATGCAAAAAGTCGACAAAGATGCTCCGTGGCCTCTTCCTTCAGCGTTGGCGCGATCAGGGGGTGGAAACCGGTCCCTCGGTTCCCCACCTTGGTCGGAGGTTCGCCGTTACACTGACTGCGTGAACCTAAGCCCGCCGTCCTCAATGGGTGCAGAGGCGACAGAATCGTTTGCGGACATGGCGAAATCTCTGGATGGTTCGGTAGTGATGCAGTCGCCTACGCCCCCAGCTGAGGAGGCGTCTTTTGTCACAAACCAAAATCGCTCTCAATTTGTTAAAGATTACATCTTTTGGCTGACGGATAAGTCAGTTCGGCCTCATTTCGAGGCTTTTGCACAGGGCTTCTACACCTGCTTGGACCGCTCGGCCTTGTCCATATTCACGCCAGAGGCACTGAAGACAGTGGTAGAAGGAATCCAAGAGATCGATATGGATGAGCTGGAACATCATGCACGTTACGAAGGCGGTTTCGGTCCAAGCCATCGCACAATCCGCGATTTCTGGGGTATCGCACGGCGGTTCCCTGCGGAGAAAAAGGCGCAGCTGTTGGAGTTTGTGACTGCCAGTGACCGGGTTCCGGTTAACGGGATTGCAAGCATTATGTTTGTTATTCAAAAGAACGGAGTGGGTGATGCTGTAGGTGTACCATTTTCTCTAAGCACTTTAGTCGGCTGCCATGCTAATTGCTTCTAGCGCCTTCCCACCAGTTTAACCTGTTTTGGTCGGCTTCTTTTGCCAGAATATTCATCGAAAAATGTCTTGGAAGACAAGCTAAATAAAGCCTTGGAGAACGCTCGGGGATTCGGCGCTGCATAATGCGGGACTAAATTTGGGATTGACATGGTACATTGTCCAACATATAAGTACACAATACCCCTACGTTATATTTCTGTATAGTATATATTCAGTCACTATATCCAATAGTGCAATAAACTGCCAGTGCTGGCATTGTCTAAAGATCTGTTCTCCTCTGCTAGTGGATTGGAGTGGAAGCGTCTATCGAAATATGAGATAGGACTCTAGATTTTATTGAGAAGTGGCCCATAGCAATCATAACTCTAAGGCTTTATTTTGCTCTGGCCCATGGGTAAAACTACGTTTACAATGAATGGGGCTTGGTATTGCCAAAAGGTTAAAAGTTTATCAGGCGCTACGAAGCCCTCTATCCCTTGTTTGAAATGAGAAATGGGCGCTTAATGTTAGGGATAGAGTATCCAAGGGCCAACTTAGTGCCCTCTTGGGTGCAGGCACCAATACGTATATCCTTGGATAAATGTTTCCCTCAACTATGAGAGCATAATAGCCTGGTTTCTCCGCTCGTGGAATTGACTCCATCTCCCTGTGGTTGCTGTTCGTTTTCTTGAAATTGGTGGTATATTGGATCGAATGAATCTAAACCCTGTAATGTAACTTGATACGGTTGCTCTACTAACACACCAATGTTGAATCAAAAGAAATGTATTGACGGTTACAGAATACGTGCATATAACGAGGAGTGGTTAGCCCGGGTAGGGATCTAACCATATTCGAGATATTTTGAGAGAAAAGGGCTACACTAAAAAGCACTAGACTTTCCTCTTTATATCGAGCATTGTATTTCATTAGATGAACAGACACTTCACATATTAGGACCGGGTAAGACAAAAGTCGGCATAGAACTTATTTACCTGTAAACTCATATCAGACATCAATGGTAGACAATCTACCAGGGCCTCCCGTATGTCCGGAAAGGTGAGTTTGAACGATGCACTAGAGGGCTTATTCTGTATGCATTATGATTAGTATCAACACTTATTCATAAGTAAATAGGCACGTGATTCTTATACATCCCTCCTTCGACTGGCTATGAATGGCCCTGCACTGCTAATTTAGTAATTAAAACGTTCTTGCAGTGGCTCTACCAAACTTGTCGTTGTGGGGGTATCCCGCGGCGTGATTGTGGATGCCGACTGTCCAATATAGCGCTTTTGCTTTCTGGCATAACCTCAACTACCAATTTCTTGGACAGTTAGACATCAATAACCTAGCATTGATACGTGAGTTTGGATACAGCAGTGCAGGATCTTACGTGACTTTAAGCTATGTCGTACTACGATAGCCCAATAAAGCAATAGTATCACTAATCTACCTCGGTTGCATTTACATGATTATACTTTTATATCCGCTAGTATATATTGATAGTGGGTCTTCAGCAATACAGCTGTTATTCTCCTATCGCCCTGTGGAGCATGAATTACTTGATGAGCTGAACATGCCGTCTTGGTCATGAAAAATTTCCAGTTTTGGAATCTATCGAGAACCGGGGCCTGGCCCAAAGAAATCTGCATTTCATGTATTGCATAATATGCGATGAAAATCTCGTTCTTGTCTCATATTCTCCCCTGAGGGTGAACCAGACGGCCTGATCTACTCCTGCTATGTAGAAGTGCCTGGGCTAATGATCCTAAAGACCTACTTGATCTATCCCTCCTGACTATACTGGATATTTTGATACGACATCCTCCCTCATTCGCCACTAATGCTCTTGTTGAATCTCCTGGTCAAATCGCAAAAATGAGTGTACAATACGTGGACTTTGAGGGCCCCGATGATCCCTCCATACCATTCAACTGGTCAATTCGGAAACGGTAAGCCATGCATACCATTTTTTGCAGGCCCTGGAAATGTTGACTTTAATGCAGGGTATATATCTCGGTCTTGTTGGGACTCCTTACAATGGTTGTCGCAATGGCAAGTAGTATCTTCACTTCAGCTATACCCACCGTGATTATGATGTACAATATCGACAGGGAGGTAGCAACTTTAGGTGTTTCCCTCTACGTCCTTGGGTTCGCCACGGGTCCCTTATGTTGGGCTCCTTTCTCTGAACTGAAAGGGAGAAAGCTTCCGTTGGTTACATCAGCCTTGGGTTTTACTATTTTCTGTTTTGCGACTGCCGTTTCGAAAGATCTTCAGTCTCTTATAATCCTGAGATACTTCACAGGCTTTTTTGGGGCGGGTCCCTTGACTCTTTCTGGGGCAGTCTATGCTGATATTTTCCCACCATATCAACGGGGTATCGCGATGGTCGGGTTCTGTCTGATGGTGTTCATCGGCCCTCTTACAGCCCCATTCATCGGCGGGTTTACTGTAATGAACCATAGTCTCGGCTGGCGCTGGACGGCATATATACCTGGAATTTTAGGCAGCGTCATTTTCGTTCTTCTCATTACTACGATGAGGGAAACCTACGCACCGGTACTCCTAGGTTGGAAGGCGGATCGCTTACGTCGCGAGCAGGGTGATTGGTCAATTCATGCAAAGCATGAGGAAATAAGTCTTGACTTGCGAACCATAATTGCCGACTATGTCAGTCTTCCATTGAAGATGTTAGCTTTCGACCCGATCGTGCTATGCATGAGCATTTTCGCCTCGTTCGTATATGGGCTTCTGTATCTTTTCTTAACTGCCTATCCTATTATCTTTCAACAAATCCATGGCATGAACCCCGGAGTAGGTGGACTACCCTACATTGGAATCATCGTTGGACAGCTATCTGGCGCTTTGGGTGTATTCGCAATGCAGCCATGGGTCCTTCGGCAAATGAAGCGGAACGGGGGCACAATAATGCCAGAATGGCGTCTTCCTATCGCGATCCCAGGAGCAGTTGCCTTCTCAGGGGGCTTATTCTGGCTGGGCTGGTCAGGCTATCGGCGAAGCATATCATGGGTGGCTCCCACAATATCAGGCATTCTTACTGGATTTGGCCTGCTGACAATGTTCCTACCCTCGATCGCTTATCTGGTAGAGGCACGACCGAAAAAGTATGTTTCCATTGCGAGATTAGTTAAAGATAAATTTATTGACTGCGAAGTAGGGCCGCTTCAGCTGTCGCTGCACACACGTTTCTTCGGTCATTGGCTGGTGCGATCTTTCCACTTTTTGCTTTTTATATGGTGAGTGAGTGATATGGCCATTTCTATAAGACCACCGTGTCCGCTTCAGTGGAATGTTTAACAAAGTGTTTCATAGTTCGACGCTCTGGGCGTAGAATGGGCCTGCACACTGCTCGGATGTGTCGCAGCGCTCCTTATCCCGATACCCTTGCTACTCTACATCTACGGTGCGCGAATCAGGAATCGCTCCGGGCTGCTGGATGAGTCTTAGGACATGAGTTGAACAGTACAACCTTTTCAATACATAGTTCTCCATTGGTGTTTATAACGTACTTGGTGACCACACGCACGCAGTCGAAAACATTGTCCTAGATTTGAGATCTGCACTAGTAGCATTGATTACAAGATTAAGCAGGGTCTCTTGAGAGTCAGGGCAGCTAAGTGATTCTTTTACGGAGAACAGGTCGTAAAATTTTCACCTTTGGCTAAACTATGGAAGGGACGGTGTATTGGAAATGGCACATCGCCCTGTTTATAAGTATTAAGGTTTAATGAGTTGCTGTTGACGGTATTTTGAATTCGTGTATACCTGAGTATAATATCAATCTTGCAACATGGCCTACCGAGCAACAGCCTACGAGCACCCTGATGCCTGCCTTCCTTGTTCTAGTAGGTGAGCAGTGCCATCCTGAGCTCACGCGACGGGGATAGCGACCTTTGTCTGTAAATCGGGAGCAGCCTCTGCAAGTTTCCACGAGGAGTAGAACGAACAGCCACCCGTCCACCAAGACCACGGTCGCGACCCAATAATAGTCACAGCCCTGTTACACGTCAGCCTATCCGATATGTCATCCCCGATTGATCATATATGTGCCATCGGCCTTCCCATCCTTCACCAAACAAAAGATCCTGGAAATTTGCTATCTTCGCCAGCCACTGTATCCATTTGAAGATATTTAAGACATTTGTGGTAAACTTGTTTTCGTAATGTCTCCAAGTGGGCGGAATCATGAATGGGCGAAATACAAGAAAGATAATACCTCACGATATGATGGAGTTACTGCTTCATAGCGGGGCAGATCCAAATGCCCCTTCTATAAATGACGAAGAGGGACATAGCACCTTTCTCCATGCTCTCGAGCGGTGCTGCTCAAATGAGATGTTTGATCTCTTTCTTCAGCGAGGTGCTGATATCACAAAGCGTTGGGGCTCTGAAACAGCACTTGAGATTGCAGTATCAAGCACTACCAATGAGTTAAGTGCTGTCAAAAAGGTTATTGAGATATTTTCACAACATGTAGGGGGGTTAGACTCGACTGTGATGCAACAAGCTTTGGCATGCATCACAGTGGATAAAGATATCCCACCCAATGCCGATCTGGTAAAAGCATTGCTTGATGCTGGAGCTAATGTTAATGCGATTGACCCCCATGGAGAGACTTTACTCCAAAAGACACTTAGCGAGCCTGATGTCGATGTAGTCAAGTTGCTACTTGAAAGTGGAGCAGAGGTGAACATCTTGGCAACAGAAGATATGGGAACACCCTTACAAACAGCAATTCTCTACGAAGAGCCAGAGATTGCGAACCTTTTAATAGATTATGGTGCCGATATTAACGCCCTTCCGGCAAAGAAACACGGTGCAACTGCGCTTCAAGCAGCCGCCATTCATGGCTACCTTGGACTTGCCAGGAGGCTGCTGGAACATGGAGCTGATGTTACTGCAGCTGCGGCACCTATCGATGGTAGAACAGCAATTGATGCGGCAGCTGAGCATGGTCGTCTTGATATGTTACAGTTGTTACTCAACTCTTTCCCCTGCAAGGAAAATCTGTCACTTGCCTGTGACCATGCCGCCTCTTTCGTGGTAAAAGAAGGGCATACGAGAGTAGTGACTCTGCTGAGGGCCTACACATCATGTTGATACTATGTTGAAATACACGAAAAATGTCTGTTTTCCGGTTTATAACTGACTATGGCCCTTCGTTTTAGTATATTAATGTAAAACCCATGATGTAGACTACCCTCTCACGACGGTATCTGAGGTCCCATAGGTCTGAAGCCTTCTTTGGCACATTGATTTCTTTTAGCTACTCTCATAAGCGCTTGAATACTTTTCCTAAACAGGACTTTAATTCCCCCTGGAAAATATATTTGCAGCCATAGCTACCACATATCGTAGAGGCAGTTACCTGCAAGACCCTCGAAAGTCTCCATAAATATGTTTACGAATACAAATAATCATGAAGGGTTTGCAGCGGGATATCATATGGACAAACGCTTCCGTAAATAGCTTACAGACAGCCATATGAGCTTTGGATCTCCTTATAAGATACAAGGTCTAGCTTATATTTACCGCCCGGTCATCATTCTTCATCTTGTCCTGTACCATCGCTACTCTTTCTCCCTGAAAAGACAAACTGGCAACCAACTGCCCCATATCTCTGTTGGGCTTGCATGACTATTCTTAGACTTGGACTTCCTGCCGCGGCTTCAAGGTAGTATTTTCTTGCTCGGGTGCCCGTGAGAGAGACTCTGCTTGGGTTAAACCTTCTTAGCTATACATCGCTGTTCCTTTCGTCCATCTTTCTATATAATATAAAACGACGTACCTGAGTCTGGCACTTTGCTGCACCTTGTTCTCAAGTGTTTCAATAGTAGAAAGAGCGTTGGAGCGAGGGTAATGAGTAAACCGACGAAAGCAAGGATGGCTTCAACAGACCACCCCATCATCCAGGTTGACAGAGAAGAAGAGATTTAATTTTCAGGAAGCTTAAGCTGCAATGAACTTTCGAAGGTTCGTTCAGGTTGTCCATGATCTTATAATAAGTCAGAGAGTAAAAAACATTCTGGGACACGGGGGATATTTTGGGTCAACTTTCCTTTGGTTTTAATTGGTCTGGTAGCTGATATAGATAAATTCTGGTATAAACCAATCAGGTAGTCAAAGACGGCTGCACTGGCCGCTGCTGATTGGTGAATATTGTTTGAGGTCTCCGCTCCCCCAGTTTTATGGAGGATCTACTAATGTACCAACAGATTCTGGTCTTGACCAGTAGAAAATGGGCTAAACCAGGCTATTTCCGTTCAAGATGACCTTGTCTGCCATCCATGGATAACTGGCCAAATGAGATGACAGTATGTAGTCACATGATCATTTTACAGCTCAAGCGAGGATTTTATATTCTATAAATCATCCCCAACTTTACGTTACCGATAAGAATAGGGGAAGTATAGATAGATATAATAATTTTGATCGATTTTTCATAATTCTATCCTCCTGTTATATCTGCCTACTCTTCCAGCATTATGGACCTGGCACCCAGCATCTAAGTAACTATGTCAAGTAAATTTCAACACATAGTCACTAGAAGCCAGTCTATCTCGGTCAGACTAATTGATCAGTAATAATGCGGATGACTTGGCCGGGAGAATGGAGTTAGTACTGAGCCTAATTGCATGGTGGACCAGGTGTTTCTATGCTAACTCATTTTCCTTCCCTCATTCTCGAGTTTCTTCTTGCGCCCCAACCCTTACCCAAGCCCACGAACACCTTTCTCATTCTTGTACTCGATTATCTTTATATTCTGGCCTCATCTTAACTCTAGCACCCATCCTCTGCTATCCTAATAACAAGGTATAGTTGTTATCATCTGTGCGCAAAGAGGGTCTGACTCAAGTGAGATTAGATCACTTTAATATATCGCCGAAGAGAAAATACATGACAGTTATATAAAAGTCAGTTATACAATTATTAGCTGACAACCAAGAATAGGCTACAGTATAGAAAGCTTATCCTAACACTTAGCAAAATTCAGTAGAAATAGTTTTATAGGGTGCAGTAAGATCATTCCGTTTAAAGAGAAAATCTAGAAACATACAAAATCTTTAGTTATTACTAGGTTGGATACTAGATACCTTTTTACTAAAGCTATTATCTCGGAGTTCACTATTCTTTCAAGACGCCCAACTATATATTAAAAGACAAGGTGAATTAGTAAAACAGAGATATATTATAATCAGGCATAAATAATACAAATAAGGTATAAGCCAATAGGACTTGGTCGTGTAGAACCTTAGGTTCGTCTAAATAGGAAGACTCCTAGTAGTATTAGTCTAACGAGCAAAAGACGCAAAGGAAAAAAAAAAGGGACATACGTAGTTTTTTGAGCGATAGTATTACCTATCTATATGGGCTGGAATGGCCTTTTGACTTAGGCGATGTCGTTTGTATCTGGCGTCTTCATCAGGGCAAACTCTGCAGCCACGCTATCGAAAGAAAATATTGCCATCAAGCTTCAAGATCGAGTACATTTTTGATCAGACATAAGTTAGGTGTAATTCCAAACACTGTTCTCTATTGACACTCCGATTGCCCTGTCAGCATATTCCATCAGCCCGTCCCAATTAGAGCTTAATATTAAACCACTATTAAACGCGTCAACAAGCACTACCCACCCTCCCCTATGATGACAATATACAACAACTCATCATATGCGCTAACCACCTGATGCCATGCCCGCAACTGACCAAAGCACATCAGATCATGTGCGCAATATCTGATCAATCTAGTCGACATTTCCCCCGCATTCCTGCAGCAGCCCAAAGTCAATTTAACAGTTAACACATCAAACTTTAACAAACAACCCCTTACATGTAAATATATTTATGTCCCTTCTCTCTCCCCTGTATCAAACCCCAATCCTACCCTCACCCTCACTCTCACTTCCCAAAAAAAACCAATGACCCAGAGCAAAAAAAAAAAAAAGAACATGCACCTCCCAACAATCCAAACCCTCCTCCCGACCCTCTTCCTCCTCCTCCAACTCCCAACCCCAACCCTCACCACCCAATCCCCCTTAAACCCCTCAGTCCCCCCTAACTCCGGCAACCCAGTAATAGAAGGCTGGTACGCCGACCCCGAAGCCCGCATCTTCGACACCACCTACTGGCTCTACCCAACCTACAGCGCAGCTTACGAAACCCAAACCTTCTTCGACGCCTTCTCCTCCCCCGACCTCCTAACCTGGACCAAACACCCAACCATCCTCAACCTAACCGCCATCCCCTGGTCCACAAACCGCGCAGCCTGGGCCCCCTCCGTCACCCGCTCCCCGTTCACCGGCGATTACTTCATGTACTTCTCCGCGGGCGACGGAGCAGGCATTGGCGTCGCGAAGTCTGTCTCCGGGGAGCCACAGGGTCCCTATGAGGATGTGTTGGGGAAGCCGTTAGTCGGGGAGACGGTGTTCGGGGCGGAGCCGATCGATGCGCAGGTGTTTGTTGATGAGGATCAACGCGTTTGGTTGTATTTTGGCGGGTGGAGTCATGCTGTTGTTGTTGAGTTGGGGAGTGATATGGTTAGTCTTAAAGGGGATTACTTGGAGATTACTCCCAAGGAATATGTGGAGGGTCCTTGGGTTTTGAAGAGAGGTGGGGTTTATTATTTTATGTTTAGTGTTGGGGGGTAAGTTTGCTCTTTTCTTTTTTTCATTTTTATTTCTCTTTTGTATTTATTTATTTATTTTATTTTATTTTTTTTTTATTTTTTTTTTT